GCTGGCGTGGACTAGGGCAGTGTGCAGATAAGGCTGGCTACAGGGAAGCCCCAGAGAGCCCTGGAACGGGGGGGGACAGCACCTCCTCTCCTTGGGACTGCCTGGGTGCTTGGGGTGCTCGGCGGTAGCCTCTCCTCGAGCTGCTTCCCTGTGCCACTAGCTCCTGAGCCTCTGCCATGGAGTCAACGGAACTGGGGCTTAGGCCAGGCTCCAGGGTTGGGGGCATCAGGAATGAGGGAGGAAGCAGAGTCAGCCAGACCTGGGCTCTGCCCCTGTGTCACCGCTCCCTGGGTGTGTGACCCATACGAGTGCTTGCCCGTGGCCTCAGTTTACCTGGGGGTGAAACAGGGCTGCTCACCTCTTCTGTGAGGAGTAGAGCAACACAGACCAAACCCAAGGGAATGAGAGTCTGAGGGCGGAGGATGGCTGAGAGGCCAGTCGAGCTGCCCGTGCCGCCGCCCACTGTGGCCACTGCCCTACTTCAGCCCCAGTTGCCAGGGAACCACGGGGTTGCTTGCTAACCTGGATTTCTCTATTGATGGGCGGCCTTTATCTTTCTGTCTCGGCCACTGCCAAGGAAGGCCTGTGTCCAGATGTTTCCAGGCAACTCTAGCCTCTGGAGGCTGCAGGGAGGTCCACAGGCCCTAGAGCCCCTGGATGGAAACAGAAATAGCTGCCTCCCACACCCTGCTCCACATGGGGACCTGCGTCCCACCTCTGTCTCCCCAGACCTGCCTCCTTGGCAGGCTGCCCAGGGAGCCCTCTGAGAGGCAAATTGTCCCGTACCTCTCCCTACCCCGCAACCCTCCAAGTCTCCCATAGGCCCTGAGGGCCGTGTGGGCTTCTCAGCTCCCATGAGAGTCTTGGTGTGACCTGGGCTCTGACCCCCTACCTTTCCAGACCTCTCTCCCTTCTTATACCCTCCTTCCTCCCACATCCTCACCATGGCTAACCCAGCGCCTCCTGTGTACCAGGCTCTGGGCCCAACACTATGTAAATGGAGAAGAAGCTTTTATGCCTCACACCTGCCTGTCAGGTGTGCCCCGTTCCACGCTCCATAGCGTACACATGGGGAAACTGAGGTATGATGAGTGCTCACTGAGGGTTGACTCTGTGCCAGGCCCTGCACTGAGTATTAAGGTAAATTCTCTTGGCCTCACAACAGCCTTCTGTCTTGGTGGGAGAGGGGGTGCCCACAGCCCTGGAGCCCGTGAAGAGCAGAACAAGGCAGACTGATTCTCCCCCCATATTAGCTCAGGTGTTCAGATCCAGTTTCAAACCCTCCTGCCCAACTCCAGCCTCTGGGCCTTCCTGGCCTTGGCAGAAACTGTACATTCTCCTGATCCTTGTTCTCCAGCCACCCCCCAGGTCCGTATATACCTACCCACTCGCCAGGGCCAGGGTCAGGCCGCATGCTGAGCACTGGGCATGGAGGTTGTTGCGGAAGAGGCTGGGTGAACGGGACAGTTACACACAGGATGAGGAATGCATAAGGGGGGCTTCCAGGAGCAAGTGGCTGTGAGTTGAGCTCTGAAGGAGGAGGAGGTGTTGGCCAGGTGATGGGAAGGTTTTCTGGGTGGAGGAAACAGCAGGTACCAGTGGCTCTGTGAGAGAGGCAAGTGTAGGGGAGTGCGAGAAGCTCAGAATGGCTAGGAGGGGGCAGGGCCTCATCCCAGTGTTAAGATACCGAGGCTGCACTTGGGGCTGAACTGGAGGCCAGGGACCAAGGGCGAGGGGTGGTGGGTGATGTTTGGGATACCGCAGAGCTTCTCTGGGAGGCCAGGGTGACTTGGAGAGGAGGGACGTAGGCTGGAGCCTCAGACGGTGACCAAGTGACCCCACCAAGCCAGGTCTGGGAAAGGGGAAGCTGACCCAGGGCTGGGTGGTGTCCCAGCTTCCTCTTTCTCTGAGGCCTCCAGGCTGTACCTCCTGGGGCTCCGTGGCCCTGGTTGGGGCTTCGCTAGCTGGTTTTCTTCCAGGGAATTTCTGGGTCTGATTGGGCATTTTTGGAGGTGGGGTGGGCTGCCTGTGAGGAAGCCTGTTCTGTGGAGGCCTCCTGCTCCAGACACTGCTGGGGGGAGGGTGCGGTTTGCGGTGAAGGAGAGAGACACCAGGCCAGCCTGTGCTGTGTCAGGGTGGGGAGTGGGGGCGCAGCACAAGTGAGCAAACAGATACTTAATTACAAACCTGGGCCTGAGGGGCAGAAGGAAAGGGAGGGATGGGGGAGGAAATCACAAGACCCGCATTGCCCTCATCACCTCATGTAAACCCCATTGCAGGCCTGCCCTGGGAGATAAACGTCCCCATCTTGCAGATGAGCATACTGAGACTCAGCAAGCTGAAGCAGGGGCTCAGGTCCCACAGGGCATTGGTGGCAGTGGGGACAGGCCCAGGCTGGGAGACTTCAGGAGTGGCCTCTGGGCTAACTTCCTCCTCTGCCCTGGGGCCTGTCGGGTTGGTTCTCTGCCGGGAGCACTGGGCCCCCACTGGACCTGGGAGAGGAGGCTCCCTGCTGTGGGCCTGGGTCTCCCCGCCTGCCTGTGACAGTCTTCTTCCTGGAGCCCCTCTGGAGGCTTTAGAGGGTCACTGACTGCCTGGCCTTAGGACTAGGCAGATGGTGACTTCACAGAGTCTCCATTGGCCCACCGAGCCAAGGGGCTTTGACCTGAACTTGCTTTTCAGTCAAGATTCCAAGAGTCTAGGCTTAGACGCTAGAGTCCTTGCTAGGAAGGAGGTGCAGGGGGAGGCCAGAGCAGCAGATGTGTGCACAGAGGGGGTTCTGGGTGGCTGGCATGGGCTGCCTGACTGGACAGGTCCATCCGGGGGCTCAGTCTGGCCGAGGGTGGGGGCGGGGGGGCGGCTGTCAGCAGAGAGACTGGCAGCCAGACTGGAGTAAGTACTGGTTTGGGATAATTAGAAGGCACGTAATTAGAAGGCGTCAGGGCGCTAGGCGGCAAGTGTCTGTGAATGTGCCCGAGTGGGCCCCTGCTGGCTTGGAGTCTGGGCCTTTGAACCCCCATTTTTCTCCTGGAGGTCTCGAGATCGCAGCTCCTCATTTGCCTGGAGGTAAGCAGCTACACAGCCCCTCTGTGTGGGCTTGGGTCACCCAGTGGGTGCCAGTCGGGGCCAGAGGTAGCACTGGGGCCCTCTCTGGAGCTGTCGTGCCTCTTTTCAGCCCTGCCTCAGCCCCTGTGGAGTCAGCCTGGGCCTCGTGGTCGAGTCTGTGGGTTAGAAGAGGGATCTTCATGCAGGGAAGGGCTTGATTGGGAGCTGGGCCTGGGCAGGGGAAGGGCCACTTTGGGCCAGAAACTGGAAAGGAAGATTCTTGGTCAAGAATGACCAAGTTAGAAGAGGGAACAGGTTTGGGGGGTGGGTCTGGGTATGCCACCTGTTGGGAGCTGACCGTCAGTGTGTGGCCTTAATGCTGTGGCCTGACCTTCTCCTGTCCCAGGTTTTCCCCTGAGCTGGCCTTGGGTCCAGAGCTGCTGCCAGGGACCTGGAGAGTCCCAGGGACATCACGCCTGCAGCCCCTCCCCCTCCTCTGTGGTGTAATTCAAACCCCCGGCCGCTGCCACCAAGGTCCTATAGGGGATCAGTTTCCTCTGGCTCCTTTTGCAGGTGGGAAGGCTGGGCCATCTGTAGGCCCCAGGGGCTCGAGTGGGGCCCGGGTTTGACTGCAGGCGGGGCTTCTCCCGTTGGGCTCGGCACCAGGCAGCACAGGGCTCCAGGTGGGGTCCCCTCACCCTGCTGGCGGCTCTAACCGGGGGCTTGGCCGCCCCATAGGGGTCAGAAGCTGTGTGGCCTGTGGCAGATGCCTGACAAATCCAGCTTCCTTCCTTCCCCCTCCTGAGCCTGCAGGCAGGCCTCCTGGAAGTATGTGACCGGGACTCACTTCCCCTTGTTCTGGGGCAGCTCCTTTTGTTGTCTAAGCTAAATCCCCCTCCTACTCTTCCAACCTGTCTACGGCTAGGAGCTTCTCTCCAGAGGACCACATACCCCGAGCCTGGGTGCTCAACCTTAGGCCAGTGGCATCTGCGCCCTCACCCTGCCTGTTTGTTGGCACTGCCCGCCATCTGGCAGGGGGCCATTCCCCGTTCATCTGTTGGCCGTTGGCCAATAGGGATGTGAGCTCCCTGAGGACAGGGACAGTGTCTGTCTTCTACTATCTGTTGTGCTAAGGGCAGTGCCTGGCACACAGTAGTACAGTAGTAGGTGACCAAGAGGGGACAGAAGTCTGAATCCTGGCTGCAAGGATAGGAGAAGGTCTGCTTCTGCCCCAGAGATGCAGTCAGATTCATCCCAGCATCCTTCCACATCGTTTGGCGGAGAAGACCGCCAGGTGGGGAGTGGGACCTGTAGGGAGAACAGGACTGTGATGCGGTGGGGTAGGGAGACATGCAGGGCTTTGGGCCTGCAAGACTTCAAGAGAAGTCTTGAGACATTTCTGGAAAGCAAGGCCTTTGTATTGGGTCTTTGATGGCTGAGAGAAAGGGATTTCCTTGGAGCAGAAACTGCAAAAGTGAAGGCAGAAAAGCAGGAAAGGCTAGGGCCCACAAGGTGGTCCAAGGGGTGGGACCCTGGGAGCTGGAGGTGAGGTGCAGAGTCTGGGTGTGAGGGGATGGCAGGCCCTCTCAGCCCCCACCCCAGGACTGCTGCTGCAGGCCCCCCTGCCCATGTCCCAGTGCACCTGGCTATTTATGGAAAGGGAGGGAAGCCCTTCCTCCTCCGGGAAGCCCCCCAAACCTGGCGGAGCCCTCTGTCCCTACTCTGCTGCCCTGGGAGGCTAACCCCAGCCAGCGCACCCCCACCTCTACTCAGGTTTGTGGGGGCAAAGAGAGTGTAGTGATTCTAGGCTAAACTCGCCCAGCGTTGCCTGCTCCACAACACCTTGCAAATTCCCATCTGGTCCTGTCATGGAAGCAGTGCCAGGAGGAGAGACAGCGGCTGGCGGCTGCCTGTCTATTCCCTCCTCCTGCTGAACCTCACCTCTTCTTTCCCAGGCTGGCGACTCCCAGGGCCTGAGGATGAAGCCAAGCCCGCCACATTGGCCCCTGTCCTGCCTTCTTGTGGTGAGTTGGAGATGCAATGTTGCTACGAAGCCCTGTACCCCAGCTGTCCGTGCGTGCTCAGGGACCCCATGCCAGGAGCTGTGCTAGGGTTGGCTACACAGCTCTTCCTTTGTAGAATTGCAGTTTGACCCTAGGAAACCTGTCCTGACCTATGCAGCTCTTGGTGCAGGAGGCCTCCCAGCACTCAGCAGGTGCTGGGAGCCAGATCTGGGGCCCAAGGAGGACTCCAGAGCCTCCTGCGTGATAGTCCCTCTGCCCTTCAGGGCAGTTGCCTGCACTCTGTGCCTGTTATCCCAATCAGGGGCCAAATTGGAAGACAGGGTTTCAGGGAGGATCTCCCCACAGCAGGAGGGATTCAGGGCAAGTGTTCATGCTTGGAATGGGGAGCAGAGGGAGCCCTCAGTGGAATGTGCTGGGAGATGCAAATTGAGGTCTTTCCTTGGGATGTAGCCCACCCTGTGTGGGGTGCAGGAGTGTGAACTGGGTGGCTTTGTGTGGAGTGGTCACAGAGGATGTGGTCCCAAAGACTCTCTTGAGGGCCCAGAATAGGAAGCGCCAGCCACAGACCCGGCCCCACGGGTGATGGACAGGGCTGGTTACCAACATGGCCAGCTGCTGTGCTGGGGCCACAGCTGCAGGAAGGGGGGCGGTACTTGAGAGAGGAATTCAGAAGCCCTTCCTCTTTATCGTCCTGGCTAGCTGGAATGGGTGTGACTCAGGGACCTGAGGGCTTGAGATCCTGACCTGGCTCTGTCTGGGGTTTCCCTGCACTTTCTAGAAGCAGATATGGTTTTCTCTCTACCTAGGCCAAGGTGACCTAGCAGGTGTGGGACAGGCAAGGTTTTATGTGCAGCCTGATGGATGGAGGTTGGAGAGTGTCCCTGAAACCTCAGGGCTGGCCCCGAGTGGTCATGGTCCCCACCCCTGGGACATTAGGAAGTGGGTGGTGGACAGATGGCCCCAGAGATGCCACATCCTGGCACTTTCTGCTTGCTCAGTGTGTCCTCCCTGCCATTCTTCTAGCTGCTCCCTTGGCCTCTGGCCACTCCAGTATCAACGACCTCTTGGCAGTGCCCACCTGGGAAGGAGCCCCACCTGGTGAGTTTGCCCTGCCCACCTGACCTGTCCTGGGAAGACTTTAAGGACCAGGTGCAGGTTCTCCAGACCTGGCTTCCCAGGAACCTGAGGCCTGGCTCCTGGCTTTGTTCTCACCCTTTCTCTCCCACAGGACCCGGGGCAGGGCACATTATGCAGATCCTGTCCCCCTGGCACTTTCTCTGCTTTGTGGGGCCCTGGCCCATGCCAGCCCCACTCGAGCTGCAGTCCTCGAGGGAGGCTGGAGGTCCAGGCAGGCACAGCGACTCAAGACACTCTATGTGGAGACTGCCAGCCTGGGTGAGCCACAGGGTGGGGCTCGAGGGCTCATGGCTACCTGACCAGGACTTTGGGTCCTGGGGTCCCAGCCTCACCCACCTAGAGCAGGCCTCAGTCTTCCCATCTGTGAAATGGGATGGGCCAGGACTAGTGAGTGTGCCTGGCAGGAGCCTCTCTTAAGGATAGTTTTTGGGCCTCAATGATGTGTTCTCTCCGTGCAGGTGGGTTGCCACTTTGGGGGTCCCCCATGTCCCCTGTCAGCCATGCTCCTGGATGCCTCTGGGTACTCGTGGCTGCTCTGGTGAGTGACAGATGGGGGCTAGGATTGGTGAGAGTGTGCACAGGAGGGGACCCAGTGAGCTTGAGCCTGGGGCCCCCACGGTGTCCTTCCGGGACAGTGGGGCCCTCAACCCTGAGCCCAGGGAAGGGTATACGGCCAGAGTGTGTCCAGCAGGATGGGATCAGTTGTCCCACTGGCAGTGTGTCTGCTCACTTTGTTTCCGAGTGGTAGAGACCATCTAGCAGGTGGCAGCCACAGCTCGGGGGGAGGGGGCTGCTGAGGGGTTAATGTCCTTCCTGTCTCCTGTCCTCATCCCCTCAGACATGTGCACATGAGTGTGAGCACACACACCTCTCACCTGTCATCAGGAGCTTTCTGAGGCAACTATCTCATGGACGCAGTCAGGGAGAGACGGGAGCCGGGATCTGTGTGCACTGTCACGTGCTCACGTGCTGTCTGTTCACCCCAGAATGAGGGGGATGGACCACAGGGCTCAGGGTCTGGCTGTCCTGAGGTCTGAGGAGGTCTTGCTCAGGCTGATTGATAAGATGGCCAAAAACATGTGGTAGGGGGAGTTGGCCTATGCTTCCCTAGCATGGTGGAGAGTGGGTGGTAGGCAGCTCTGGACATCGTAGTGCCCTCTTCATACCACTCCCCCCCACCAACTTTAATTCAGGCCCTGGGCCTCTCTGCCTCCCTTTTTTCTCCATGCCTCCATCCTCTGGCGCTCAGAGCGGGGACGGCGGGCCCGACGTGGCGTGGAGGTAGCAGCAGGGGCCACCAGCTCTGGGGACACGCGGCAGCCTGGGAACAGCACCCGGGCAGGTGGCCCTGAGGAGACGGCTGCCCAGTATGCGGTTATTGCCATCGTGCCTGTCTTCTGCCTCATGGGGCTGCTGGGCATCCTGGTGTGTAACCTGCTCAAGCGGAAGGGCTACCACTGCACCGCCCACAAGGAGGTTGGGCCCAGCCCTGGAGGTGGAGGCAGTGGTGAGGCCTGGCCTGGGGTCTGGGTGGGGAGGCCAGAGGGCACGGAGGAGCCCAGCCCAGCTGGGGGGCTTCTCAAGGGAATCTCTTGGCCTGGGTGGTCTGACAGGGAGGGGCCTGCAGGGAGCTAGCCAGGAGGGCTTCCTGGAGGTGCAGCATGTGGGCTTGAGAGGTGACTCTGCAGAGTGTCGCAGTGGAAGGAGAGGTGAAGTGGCCTGAGGTGGTGACAGGGGCAGAGCAGAGGTGAAGTGGCTTCAGTGGGATTCTCACCCTGGGTGAGGTCCTGCCCAGCTGTAGGGGTCTGGACTCCTTGGGGGCTGCAGTTCAAGGGTTGGTCCATCTTCTGGGAACTCAAGCTGACCTCTGACCTCAGCATTGGCAGGGCAGTTGTCCTTGGCAGCAGCACGCTGCCCCCCCACCCCGCAACGAGGGGCTCAGGTTTCAGCTCCAGGCTGTGGTTTGAGTTAGGAGTCCTGGAACCAGAGGGAGAGAGGCGTTCCTCCCAGTCCCACCCCAGGGCCCCAGGCCCCTTCCCACCACTGCCCCCCCCCTCATTCTCCTGAAGGCCAGTAGGGCAAGGGTCCCCAGGGCACATACATGTCCCAAAGAGCCTTGTGGCCAAGTCAAGATTGAAATGGTGCTTCCTGGGCCTGTGCCCCAGGCTGCCTGGGGTTGGCCAGAGCCCTTCCCACCTCCTGCCACTGCAGTCTAGAGGGGGCAGGAAGATGGCAGCTCAGGCCATTTTGCCCAGGACTGCACTTGTTTTCCTAGCCTAGGTCTCCCTTTAACTGCTGGCTCTTGCCTGAGTGCAAGTTCTAGGAGCTGTTGGCTGCTGGCCTAGGATTGGTCACGTGGCTCATTCTCATGCTCTTGAGGTTTGGGCCCTCATGGCCCCCATTTAGTTATGTGGACACGGTGGTGTGCAGGGAAGTGTGATAAGCCTGGACCAGCAGAATTTGCCAGAGAGCTATCCGGGGGTCTGGGCAGAAAGGTAGCCCACAGCTCCCTGAAGCTGTGGAGGGGAGACAGCAGGCCCCAGAAAAGGCTGCTCCCCCACCCTCACTCCATAGGGAGACATGATGAGGAGGCTCCAGAGCCGAGGCCCGAAGGGCAAGCAGTGCAAACACCCATGCGCAGCACAACTCGTAGGGAGGCCTGGGGTGCCCTCTGCTGCCACATCTTGGTGTAGCCGTCCAGCCCAGAGGCCCACTCCAACGAACCCCACCCACCCCCCCGCCCCCGCCCTTCCCCAGGATCACAGTTGCGGCTTTTTTCTGCAGGGATCAACCCCGCCTACAGGGCTGAAGATGCCAACGAGGACACCATCGGGGTCCTGGTACGCCTGATCACAGAGAAGAAAGGTGAGGGGAAGGTCTGGCCCTGTCGCCAAGCCCTGGAGAAGACAGTCTCCCAGAGCCTGAAGCAGCCATAGGGGTCAGAGCATCCCCCCACCCCCACCTGCTCTGCCCCTCCCGCCGGGACACCCAGGGTCAGCCTGGCGCTCCCTGACCAGTGTGGCTGAGGGTGCTGTCCCTTTTCTTTTTCTTGCCTGATGAGTGCTGGAGGGGGAGGTGCTAGACCCTAGCTGGGACGGGGGCTGGGGGGGCATGGAGGGCACAGGGAGCTGGGTTCTGACTGCCGCTGCCCACAGAGAACGCGGCGGCCCTGGAGGAGCTGCTGAAGGAGTACCACAGCAAACAGCTGGTACAGACAGGCCATGGGCCTGTGCCCAGGTGAGCGGGCAGGGGTCCCACGCCCACACTTGGGTCGGCTTGCTTCTGGGAGGATTCACCACTCGGATGTGTTCACGTTACTCTGTTGGTGACCCCTGGCATGGGCCTGCCCTAGTGACTGCTCCCACTTGTGTCTTTTGCAGGCTGCCACTAGGCCCCCCCAGCTTGCCACACATCTGCCCGCATCGCCACCACCTCCACACCGTGCAGGGCTTGGCCTCACTCTCTGGCCCCTGCTGCTCCCGGTGCAGCCAGAAGAAGTGGCCCGAGGTGCTGCTGTCCCCTGAGGCCGCAGCTGCCGCTACCCCCACTCCCAGACTCCTGCCCAACCCTGCCAGGGCTCCAAAGGCAGGGGCCAAGGCAGGACGCCAGGGCGAGATCACCATCTTGTCTGTGGGCAGGTGAGATGGGCACTGATGCAGGGGGGTCAGGGAGAGATGTTATACTCAAGGTTGGGGAGATGGGGCCCTGTCTGAGCCCTGAACATCCTGTTCAGTGATGCTCCCCCTCTGGCCTCAATAAGCTTCTGAGCAGAAGGGGTGTGCGGTGGTCAGGGAGAAGTCAGGTCTTCCTAGCTCGGCTGTGTCTCACTCGAGCCCTTGGGCCCCAGGGCAGGGTCCTGGCCTCCATCACACCTTGGGACCCTCAGGCCAAAGGACTGTTTATCTATAACCTAGGGTTGGGGGCAGTTGGGGGCTCATCTGTGGATGGGAGGACATAGGAAGAGCTCAGGCTCCGATCCATGAACTTGGTGTGGGACCCTAGCAGGTGCTGCCCTTTCTATACCTAAGGTTTCCTCTTTTAAGGGGGGGGGGTTGTCATTATACCACTACTCCTCGTAGGTTCCGAGTGGCCCGAATTCCAGAGCAACGGTCAAGTTCAGCAGCCCCTGAGGTGAAGACTATCACGGAGGCTGGGCCCTCGGGGAGTGACCTCCCTGATTCCCCACAACCTGGCCTCCCCACTGAGCAGCGGGCACTGCTGGGAAGTGGTGGAAGCCATACGAAGTGGCTGAAGCCCCCGGCAGAAAACAAGGCTGAGGTGAGGGCCTGAGGGGGCAAGTATGTTGGCACCTGGACCAACCTGGATTTGCAGATGGGAGCTCTGGGCAAGGGCTGGTTTCCTGGAGCCCAGAAGCCCCCTGACTCAGTTCTGAGTCCTGACTTCTGTCTCCCAGGAAAACCGCTATGTGGTCCGGCTAAGTGAGAGCACTCTGGTTATCTGATGGCCTGCCTCAGCTGAAGACACAGCAGCCCTGCCCTGGGAGGTTCTGGAGGCTTCCCGGAGGAGGTAGAGCTGCAACTGGGCCTGTGAGGATCAAGAGGCAATGGTCCAGCAGGCAGAACAGCAAAGGCCAAGGCCTGGAGGTGGGAGTGTCCGCCCCGTGCAGAGGCAGGCCAGCAGGCAGGTGCTGTGTGCAGGAGCAGGTTGAGGGCCCCTCCCCTGCCCCTGTGCCTTGCCCCAGCCAGACCTAGGACCCTGCAGGACCCTCTGTACCACCAGGTGGCTAGCCTTGGCTGGGGGGAGGGGCCCTTGGCCTGGCACCCTTGGCCCCATACCTTGGTAATCTACTGCCCCGCCTCCATCCAGGGCCCTAGCGAGGACCTCTCCCTCCTCTTCCGGCGGGCCTCACATAGGGAAGAGGCAACAAAAAGCTGTGGGCTGGAGACTTGAGCTCCCTGGTTCTAACTGTGGGCAAGTCCCTGGCCATCACCTGGTTATAGTTCTGACCATGGAGTGGGGAGAGAGAGGTGTCTTGGGACGCAGGGCTTCTCCGGTTCCTTGCAGGTTCTGACCTGGGTTGTGTGCGGGGAGAGCTTGACTCCTTGCCACCCCTTCCATTAGTAGCTTTATCCGTGGCCCCATTTTTGCAGCTTCCAGGGCCTGTGCCTTCAGGCCCCCATGGGGCTGCCCATCCCTGGCTCTGCCTACGGAAGGGGCTTAATGCATGTATCTGCCCCCCTCCCCGCTGTTTTTATTGAAATTGGAACCACAGTCTTGACCTGGGCAAGGCTGTGATACAGGTTGCCAGCCTGCATAGTCACCCCAAGATCTCAGGAGTGCTTCAGGGAGGGGGTTGTGTGCGGGGCTGGAGAGGCCCCTCTGGCCTCAAGTCGTTTCTGTGTCTCTGTGGTGTTGGTGTCTATCCCCCAGCTGGGCAGTACAGGCGACTGCCCAGCCCAGCTCCATGTCCACTGTAGCCCAGTGACCTCGTTATTTATATGGGGCCGTGCAGGCATGGGCCCCACTGCCATCCCCATTTCTCTTATTTATTGAAAATTTGCTGTTGTCCTGTCCTTGTCTACATTCCCATCCATTTATTGGATAATAAAAGGTGGGAAAGTGGGGTCATGAGGAGCTTCTTTCCCTGTGCCTCTTCCCAGGTCGTCTGTCTGTTCACCAAATACTGCTGTGTCAGGTATGGCGTGGGGGACAGGCCACCATCCCCCTTGCAGGGCTGGCTCTGTGGTGGGTGGGCATGGGACAGCAGGGGAGGTGGGGAGGCCCCTCACCTCACTGGTTCTCACTGAAGCCCCTAGAAGCACTGCTGTCCAGTGGAAATACAGTCCATATCATGTAACTTAAAATTTCCTAATAGCCACATATTTTAAAAGTATCAATAATGTATTTCAGCTAGTACAGCTAAAATATTTTCACTTCAATATAAAGTCAGCATTAAAAATTATGAATGAGCCATTTTTTGCTTTGAAATCTGGTGTTTTATAGTTAAAGCACATCTTAATATGAACTAACCACATGTGGCTAGTGGTTCCTGTCTTGGACAGCATAGCTCTAGAGGATAAGGAGCCTGGAGGATGGATGGGTAAGACAGACATGGCGGGAGCTGGATAATGTGGGGAGGGGGAGCATGGTCCCCAGAGAGGGAATAACAATGTGCAGAGGCCCAAGGACACTATGATGAAATGGAGAAGCTGGAAGTCAAAGGCGAAAGGTGTGGAGACCAGAGTGAGGGTGGGCAACAGAAGGCAGCTCCACGTGCTCCTAGAAGCCCTTAGGCCAGGGATACCAAGGCATTTAGGAAAGGGAAAAGCAGGGAATGTACCAGGACTGGACCGGGAGAGGGCTCGGGACAGACCCTTCGGCTGTTCCAGGGGCACTGCCAAGAGGTGGGAAGGAGACCAAGGGAGAAGTATCCTGCAAGGGAGGAAAGGAGAGTGAGGGGCAAGGTGGGTCACAAGGCCAAGGGCCACCACTGGGTCAGCCCCTGGTTATTGGACATGGGGACATGGTGAGAGCAGGACCAGGTCTGAGTGGATTGAGCTCCCTGCAGAAGCCAGACTGTGCCAGGTAAAGCAGGTGGAGACCTAGGCTCCAGGGAGAGGTTTTTAGTTAATTCTGGGTTCTCTGGGTATTTGGTATATTTTTTAAAGACAGAAGGAGCACATTTAAATGCTAATGGGAGAGTCCCAAAGAGAGGGGGAAGAACCAGCTACTGATGTTTGAGGGAGCTGGGGGAGGTATGGAAAGGGACAGCCTGTGGGAGTCATCTTGCTGCAGATGGGGGAGAGTGGCTGTCAGGCTGGGGCTACAGGAGGGCCAGCTCACTCTCTTGTTCTTGCTACTCCTGTTGTAGCCAGAATTAGCCTGAGGTGCTGCTGTCCCCTGAGGCCACAGCTGCCACTGCCCCCACTCCCAGATTCCCGCCCAACCCTGCCAGGGCTTCCCAAGGCTGGGGCCATGGCAGGACGCCAGGGTGAGGTCACCATCTTTGTCTGTGGGCAGAGGCCTTTCTCCTGTGTGGAAGCCACGGGCAGGGGTCTGCCCCAGCAGCATCATGGAAAACTCCTGCCCGGAGAAGCTAGGCAGATGGGCCTTGAGATTTGCTGTCTCCTTGCCTTTTGACTCTCCAGGGCACGGTCTTTTCTCTCTGAGGCTTCTGAGGTGTGCAGGAAAGGGAGGGCACCTCTTAGTGCCTAGGAGACAAAGATTTACCTGCTCTAGGGGAGAAGAGGAAAGGAGGCAGGCTGCACATCAGGAGGAATTTTCTGGATTACCAAAGGTTGCCAAAGTCTAGAACAGATGTCTATTGTAGGGGACTAGCACTTTTAAGGAAATATTCCCTTGGGCTGCCAGGCTCCACTCGGTGTTCCTATTTGTCAACTGTTAGCTGCAACTCAGGGTTTGGTTTCTCAAACTTGGCTGTCTCCTCAGCCAACCAACCCCACTTCACCCAGCACTTGGATGACACACCAAGATGATGAGACAGCAAGAGCCAGTGCCTAGGTGGATGGGGTAGGAGCTGGGCCCTCCTACTCTCTCGACTCTCTGGCCTCCTTTCCCAGGGTAAAGGTTGGATTGTGGACTCCAAAGGCCATGTTGCTACAGAAACTGAGGCTGGGTTTGGGCTTCCCAGGCCACGTAAGAGACCCCCACCATGGTGCTGGGCTCTGGGGTAATAAGAACAGTTCCCCTCCAGCACCACCCCCTCATTGTCTGTTTGCTGGAAGGTGAAACTAGAACTCTGGCCTAAATTTCTTCACCTGTCCCATGTGGCCAGCTCCCAAAAGGATGGGATGAGTTGCTGCAGGATCAGGTAGAGGTATAGCCAATGTCCTTGGCCTTCAGGGCCCGCACCCTCAGCTGGAAGTTTTCCTGGCTTGTCCCCTCCTAGGTGTGCCCCCTCTGAATCTTGGCAGCCCTGGGAGCTGGAAGACAAGCTGGGGCACTGGGCTGAGGGGAATTCTGAGTTTGACTTCTAACTCCACCCATCGCGCCAAGGACCAGACAAATGAGGATGAGGGCCCAGATCTCCATCTCCCTGCCTGCTCCTGGCCCTCTAGTCCTACCACTGTGACCTGGAGCTGAGTCCCTGGAGAAAATCCCTTTCCTGCCCTAGCGAAACTGTTGATACAACCAGACAAAGTCTGTGGCCAAAGATGCCTTCGGCTCCCACATGTGACAGAGCCTTCCACTGCACAAGGGAGGAAGAATGAGTTCCCTGTTAGGTGAGGAGGTACAGGGCACTGGGTGCCAGAAAGGGCTGGGGTGCTTAGGAGTCCTGAACTGTAATTATAGCTCCGGTGTGGGCCAGGTCAGTCAGCCTTGAGGGGTTTCCAGTTGAGGAGGCTGAACATTTAGAGGCTGGTAGAGCGTGGATGGTCTGGGTCAGGCCCTGGGAGGGAATGGTGGCCACAATGACCAGGAAGAGAAGCATGGGCCTGGGCTAGAGCAGTGCCTTTGCCCAGAGGGGAGAGGAGGAAGAGATGCAGGATAGAAAGTGACAGCACGTGACTATTTGGATGGAGACCACCTGACCTCCCCTGACAGTCGTTCTGTGACTATAAACTTGAAAGCACTTCCCTTGGTTTCCCACCTGACAAATTTACCTGTGTTTAAGTAAACACAGACACTGCCACCTCCAGGGTGGGCAGAATGTGGGACTCAGTGCCTGGGCTATGGAGCCAGACCAAGTGTGAGCTCCATCTCTGAACCTTGAGCACCAAGCTCTGTGACCTGGGCCAAAGTACTTACTCTCCTTGGCTGCCCCCTCTCGACAGGCTCACCTCCCACTGGGCTGTGAGGATTAGGAGAGTTACTAAACATAAAGCACAGTGCTTTATGGGAGGCTCTGGGAGGGCCTCAGCAGATGGCAGCCCTCATCATTCACCACCTACCCCCCCAGCTCCCTTATCACCCACCTTAGTCCAGGTGCTGATGGCTACTTCCCAGGCCCCTCAGCTGAATCCCAGGGAAGGCCTGCTAAGCCTGTGGGGAGATGCACCACAGGTGTTAATCTGGTGAAAACAAGTTCATAATGAGCTTGGGAAGAAACCCAGGGGATTCACTAGCCTAAGAGATGAGCTGTGTCTCCGTGCCCCAAAAACCACCAGTCTGGTCACCCCGGACTTTTTTTTTTTTTTTGGAAACTTTTTTTTTTTTTTAATAGTTATTGAATGTTCTACAGCTTACAGTAAATATCATAGTTACAAATTCTTGGCTTCAATCTTTCAGAGTGATCACTATCTGATCTTCAAAACAAAACGAAACAAAAACCCAAAAGAATCCAAAACAACAAAACAAAACCAGATTTACACTTCATACACACAAGGCAAGGCCATGGGGCTTTCCAATCTTTACACTCCAGGCTGTGTTTTGTTCTTTGATCAAACTACTTGGAAGACACCGGTCAAAGGTTTATTATTATTATTTTAAATGTTTTTCTTTTTTAAAATGTGAGTTCCAATAAAATTTAAAAATTAGATTCCAACCTGTAGATTAAAATGAATTAAAAAATACAAAATCATATACAATGCTCTTACAGGGATGTTAACATGCCATGAGAACAGGCTTCTCTGTCATGTGATATGAAATAGGGATGAAATAGTCAGGAGATGGGGACAGACCCTTGGGCCTTTAAAGGTCATTATAGACAACTTCCAAGTTGCTAGAGGCCTGGCCTTACCTCCCCTTGGGTAAGGAGGAGGAGCTGGAGTCCCCCACAGAGCCATGTGATCTGGCTGACCCGAGAAGGTGGTCTGTGGGCATTCCCACTCTTTCCCTGACTCACAGGCATGAGGAGGAAGGCTAGAACCTCAAGATGCTGGTCTTGCTGGGGTCAGGCCCAAAGTTTTACCCATTTGACTCCTAAGGGCTGGTACTTATCTGCAAAGCTGTTCTAACTGTTCTCTTCAGGAAAGAGAGTACCCACTTCACCAGGAGCTGGGATGGGTACAGGGCCTCACCACCACAACACGAATGTCCAGGGACTATGGATGCAGCCTCGGAAAACAAAGGTTCTCGTTTCCCTTTCTGGCTTTGTGGCGGCCAGTCCCAACCCGTGTTCCTCCCTTGGCCACTGGACTGGACTCAACAGCATGCAAGATATAAAATAACCATTGGAAAAACTGAGGTTAACGGGGCCCAAGTCTGGCTCAGGCAAATTTGGCTACGGAATGTTGAAGCTGGCCTGCCAGGCAGGAATTTTGAAGGCTGGGCCCTGGAACCATGTAATATGTAACTTCAGAAACAAGTTTTCTAGGAGACAGGAACACAGGTGAAGGACCACAATCTGCCTGGCATGCCCATGGGAGCCTGATCTCAAGACGCTCAGGTACAGAATCGATGGTTAGCCTGGCTGGGTTTCCTCTGCTGTGATCTTGCTTTTGGGAGGGGCCTGGATTCCCCTGGGGCTGTGCACCTGCACGGAGATGGTCTCCTACCTGCCCGCTCCACTGCCTGACCTGCCCCTCTCTGAAGCTTGGCAAGCAGATGGGACCGCATACTCTGTAGGGACATGGTAGAATACAGGATGGAAAAGCAGAGCTTGCATGTATCTTCACTCAGCCGCAACGGTGACCTCTAAGTGATTAATCCAGCCAGAGTGCTATAACTAAGACCACACAAAGATTAAGACCCATGCCCTCCGGGCCTTCCTTCTCTGCCCATGGAGCAGAGCTAAGGATTCTGATATGCAGGGCCCCAGGCTTGGTGACCAAGGGGCCTGCCCTACTTTTATGTTCCATGTGATTCATTTCCGAATGCCACTCAGAACAAAGGACCCCCCCCCCGCCGCCGCCCTGCTCTCTCGGAGTAGTAAATCTCAAACTTGGAACAATTTGGGTGGCCAGGGGTAAGAGTTAAGATAGAGTAAGAACTCTTTGGTCCTGGTTCTCATCTGTGGGGAAAAGCAAGCCCAGGAATTGAAGTCCGATGTGCTTTTGGCCATTCAGGACTACACCAGGTCCCCTGGGAGTGCCAACTCACTGCATGCGGACAGTGGGCAGGCTTTCCAGGGTCAGAAAGCATGGGTGTACAGGCTTCCCAGGGCCATGGGTCTTTCAATGGACAGATACCTGGAGCTACCCTTGAATGTGGCTTCAGTCCAAGGCATTATGACCCCAAAGTGTTTTGTTCAAGTTAGGCCTTTTGTTGCCAATTTTCATCCTCCTGGTGCTGCCAGGGTCCTCAAGGTCTGCCCATCATAAAAATCTCAGCTGGGAGGACTGAGCTCCCCAGATCTCTAGGGAGTCTTCCTCTGTTTGGGGTAGACAGCTCACCCCTTCTTCATTGCCTGCCACCGAGACCCAGCAGGTGACAGATGCCAGCTGAAAGAGCAGAGAATTTGAAGGGTCAAATTTGGGCTCCTTCTCTTAACTGTATGAATTTTGTCAAATCTCTTAAGCCTTTTTTTTCCCCCCTAAGTAAGCTCTAGGCCCAACGTGGGGCTTTAACTCCTGACCCTGAGATCAAGAGTCCCATGCTCTACCGACTGAGCCAGCCAGGTGCCCCAAGTCTCCTAAGCCTTCTGAGACTTAGTTTTTCCCATGTGTAAAGTGAGGATTTGGCAATCATGTCAAAGTACTTTGTACATAAAAAAAAAAAAAATCATGGATAGGTGAACCCATGGATATTGAACTTGGCCTTGTTCAATATTTAGCTAAGGGGATATACACTTTAGGGTCACTGCCAAGAGAGAAGAGCTGTAGCAACTGTCCTGTCTGAAGAAAACATTACGTTTTTTCAGAAAGTGGCAACAAGGTTATGTTCTGACCACTTGGGGGCACTCCAGACTCCAGATTCCTGGGCCCTAGGCTGATGAGGAGAGGGAGTCAGGGAGAAGCCGGGAAAACCAAGAGGACAGTCTACTGACTGGAACCACCAGCGCCCCTAACCCCGGCCACCAAGCTTGTGGTGCTGGGGTGGGGGAGACAGCGGAGAGGCGTTTGCATGCCATTGCCACCTTTGTAGCTATGTCCTGTGGGCACACCCCTTGTCCTCTCTGGCTTGCTGGCCTTCCTACAGTGACCCAGCCTTTCCAGCTGACCTTCTGTCCAGCTTTGCCATTGGGCCATCCAGTACTTTTGGATGCTGCCCAGCAGATGCTTATGATCCTACCAGGAATGTTCCTCCTGCCCGAGGCACACTATTGCCCCTGCTCTCCTGGACTTACTCCCTTTGCGATGACTCCCTAAGCTTGGCTAGGCTTGTGGATCTCCGTCAAAGCAAGCAGGGGAGGCCAGCAGAACTGGGGTTCTACTACAGATACTGAGAAAGGAGTGCTGGACTTGGGATCTTCCAGACCACGGCCTTTCTGCACCTTTTTGCCTCGGGGCTGGTCTTTGATCTGGAATTACATACTAGGGCAAAGGGGGGGTGCAGAGCACAGACGCTTCAGTCCACAAGCCTGTGTGTGGAATCTGACTGGAGGGAAAGCGGACAAACTGGGATTCGGGTGGCTGTGCCACTGATAAGCAAGTCTCTTTGCTTTCCCAAGTCTCCGTGTCCCCATGGATCAAATGGGAGGAATACTCTATTTCACAGGGTTAAGCCAGATGAATGGATGTGAAATTGCTTTGTGAACTGTGAGGTACTAGATGTTAGTTTTTACTTACTGGTATAGAAAGAACAAAAGTAATTAGGTCATTCCTACGTCTCCTTTTTACCTCCTCTCTGTGGTTCTAGCCAGCTCACCTAGAGGCAGCAGGGTTCAGAGAAGCCTATTAAGACACTAGCATTCTGCTCACACTGGCAAGTTCCCTTTCCTTCTAGAACCAGTTTCCTCATTCGTTCAATGGGTGCAAGAACTCCGACCCCGCCTCTTTCTCAGGGCCAGTAAAATAAATGCTGGGAAGCACTCTGAAATCTATGGTGCACCTGACAAATGCAGAGGTTTCCTATTATTATCATTAGTAGTATTTTGGCATTTTCCAAACACATATGACATAATCTAGAGCAACCTTCACACACCCCTACAAAACCAAAGAGTAGGAGGAGGTATTTGCAAAAAATGGATTAACACTGGAAAACTGTTGTTTTAAAATGAAACCCCATCAGCACCCTAGAACAGACCATTTAGAATAGCTAGGTTTCTCCTTACTGGTCCTGCAGTTTCCTGGAAGGCCAAGAAGGTAGGTCCCCCAACTCCTGACTCTCAGTTGGATGCTGATGGGCTCTGCCCTCCTGGGAATGGCCAGACAGCCTCTGAGGTCCTTCTGGCTCAAGTTTCCTGAAATTTTTCCTCCTTTAAGGGAGACATGGGAGGTACAGGTAGGAGTATGTCCAAGTATGCATGAATTTAAAATGAAAAGGGTTATTTAGAAGTTCCAAATGCTATCAATGATCCCATTTTGTACAATAAAATGTTCCTGCACCCCTCCATCCCCAAAGGGGCTGCTGGCCCAGCCAGAAGCCGGGTACAGGGGACAGTTCTGGGACAGTGGGCTCCAGGCTGAGACTAGCCATGATTCCTGACTCAGAAGTTCCTCTTCTACCATGAGAGCCCCTGTTTCCTGGGTCTCATCCTTGTCCTCCTCTCTTCTCAGGATGAGGGGCTACTGTCCTAAAAGCATAGATTCTCCTTTTCAGCCAGCCCACTTGCTCCTTCTAGGATTGGAGTCCGGTATAGAATGAAAGTTCCAGATGTCTTCCCAGAATTTCCGAATGCTATTTCCTCATTTGCAATTTCTGTTCCTGCCATCTGCCCCCATGTGACCTCTGCCCAGTCTTCAACCCCCTCCTTTGGAATCCATGGAGGAAAAGAGCAGAAACCAAAGCCCAGAGACTGTTCCAGAGTTCACCAGGTGTGGGTGCTGCTGACTTAATTTTTACAAAACCAAGCTAATCCATCCCTAGGTAAATTTTTGTGGGTAACATGCCCCTAGGTAGGAAGGCTGCATTTCATGCTAATTTACTGCAAGATCTAGGGAAGTCCTTCCGTCTTCTCTGGGCCTCAGCTTCCTCATCAATCAAACAGGGGAATGGATGAGATGATTGCTAAGGTCCCTTCAGTTCCATGAGTCTATGAAATGTTTATTGCTATTGCTTTTCCTTCACTATCCTGACCTTCAGAGCTGCCAGCACCCACCTGGAATGTGGTTCCTTCACTTTGGCCATGAATGGCACAAGGTAACCAAAAGCCCTATGGACAGACTGGTGAGCCCTGGTACCGGGAAGGGCAGAGGGTAGGGAGAGAAGTGCCACAGGTTCCCACTCTAATCAGGAGGAAGCATCTTATCAGAGTGGGTCCACGTGGGCTCAGGGGCCAAGGTCCGGATTACATAGGGCACCTGGCGTTCCAAGGCTTTGGGAGGCTGAGATACCATCACCCTGCAGCTGCTTGGCAGGTCTGAGGTCAAAATTACCTTTTGAGGAAGTGCCAGGTCGGTTAACAACACTGTGCAAATCAGAGGGTCCAGGCCCAGACAATTTGGCCAGAGACCTTACAAACCAAAGCCAGCAGGCAAGCACCTCTCTTCCTTCTTTCCCTCCCACAGTGCCCCCCCCCTCCCCCAAGTTCTCCCAAAGAAAGAATCTGGTTTTCCCAGGTTCTCACCTGGGGTATTAAGCGGCTATGAACACTCCTACCTAATCAGGTGGCTCTGTTCTTGGTCTGTTGCGATGGTTCTCAGAAGACTTCCCTTTGCGTTAGGACATGGCCATGTCCTCAAATAATCTTGCTTAGGAAAAATAAATGATCCCCCAGAGGTGTAACCTGCTCAACAGCTCTGAGTTTCTACCCTGGACCCGAGGGCCACATGTGTTATGCTCGTCAAAGGAAATCACACCTTCAGCTGAACCATTGCAATAAACCCCACTCTCTGCCTGCCACTAGACTGGGGTCCCCAGGGACCAGATGCTTGGGGAAGGAGAGAAGAGCAAAGAGGATGTGCCTGGTCAAGAGGAAGGGATAGAGCTGGAAGGGTAGCGGCTAAGAAGGGGACAGTGGGGAGAGGCAGGAGATTAGAAAAAGCAGCTTTTACAAAAACCAAAAATAAAACCAAAACCGTTAAAGATGCATAAAGTGACCCTTGCACTTCCGTTGTCTCTTCTTGCAAATAGAGGTGGTGCTGCTAGGGGACTGCTCCAGCACCTGTGTAAGACTTGAGTAGTTGCATACAATGTGTGACTCCAGATCTGAGGAAGGAAGGGGAGAGCCATTAGTGACAATGATATTCCTGAGGCCACTTCAGGAAGCTGCTGGATCCCATCCTGTGCCCTACAAGCAGCCCTCTGTGCCTTCCTGGTGGAGCTGCTTGCTTCCCGTCCAGTGCCAAGAGCTCCTGGAGGAGGTGGAGGGCAGGGGAGATCAGGAGAGAGGGCAGAGAATTTAACAGTGACATCCCTGGAGCCCTAAGGTTCACTGGCTCTGCCTTGGGAGCTGTGGTGAGGGTGGGGGTGGGGTGCAGTCTGGAGGGAAGCTGGTGGGTGAGGGGCAATGGCCCAAAGTTTCTCTCTGATTAAGCTAAGACTTCATCTGAAGAATGAGGCTCAGAGTTAAAGGAAGTCTGAAGACTGTAGGTAAGAGCATGGAACTTAGTACTAGAGGACTGGAGTCCTACTAGTTTAGGTGTGTTGAACTATGTATTTATCTGTAAAATAGAGCTAATAATCCTCATTCACAGAGCTACCATAATAAGGATTATGACATAACATATGTAAAGTATCTAGAATACATGCAAAGTCACAGCTGTCCTTGACAGTGGTATTACTGAACATGGAACAGGAAAGCAGCTGGTGACTGTCACTGGCCCCTGCAGACACCTGTGCTGTAGACCAGGCCAGGGGCTTTGCTAGGGGCAATCCTGGTATTTGGTCATCCTCCTACCTCTCCCAGCCCAGACCCCACTCACTTGGATGGGCTGCAGGCTTTACCAGTGCGGGGGCACATAGCTGTACGCGGGGGTCCCTTGGGCCCTGTATGTTGGCATGGAGACAGGGTGTGCCCCGATGGCGGTGTGCTGGGGTGCGGTCAGCAGGGTACCTGAGTATCCAAAGAGAAGAGTAAACCCAATGAGGCCATCCCAGGGCACTGGGATGAAGAGGATGAAGCCATGGCCTTTCGTATAGCTGCTCCCCAACCTGGGCCCCCACCTCCCGACCTGCTCATGAACTGCTGCCCACCCCTCCCACCTTGCCAGGCTTCATCTCCTTAGGGTAAGTTTTGCTGATGCTCCAGGACAGAGTCAATCATCCGTCTTCAGTGGCTTCCTTTTACTCTTCTTTGTATGCTCCTCCTATTCTACCGAGTGGAAACTGTTGGTTTATATGGTTATATGTACCCCTAGCCCTGCTGTTGCTAAAGGTGGGGCTCTTATCTGTCAATAACTGGTCCGCAGGACCAGAGCAAGGCTGGCACCAAGCAGATAATCAATAGCTTACTGACCTGATCTGGGGAAAGAGGCCTCAACAACCCCTTACATTAGGCGCAGAATAAAATCCCAGCTCTCACCTCCCATCCATTAGACCCCTTGTACTCTCTTCCCTTAAGTGGTTCTTTAAAAGCTGAGTCTCAAGGCACCTGGATGGCTCAGCTGGTTAAGCTGCTGCCTTTGGCTCAGGTCATGATCCCAGGGTCCTGGGATCGAGCCCCGTATTGGGCTTACAGCTCAGCAGAGAGCCTGCTTCTCCCTCTCCCTCTGCCTGCTTGTACTCTATCTCTGTGTCAAATAAATAAAAACATCAAAAAAAAAACTGGGTCTCTAAAGGTTATTCATGGCCCTCTTGACATCTCATGCTCTTCTGAATGTCAGCGCATCCAGAGACTTCCCTGCTATTCCTGGGGTGTTTCTACCCAATCCACAAGATTCCAGATGGACAGGGCTCTGGTGTGATTTCTGGAGTAAGCCAGAAATGGAGAAGGGGCACTCCGTGCCTTACAATCAATTACAGGACAGGGTCTTGAGCTCCTGCCTGCTAAATAACATTGCCTCATGCCCTCATTTCTGGAACCAGAGTCCAAGTACCACCATCCTTCCTCTGAACTACAGCCGCCCCACTGAACTACCTACTTCTAGCCTCTCCCGTCTGACCATGCCTCCACCCTGCAGCCAGAGAATGTTTAAATCAAACCCATCTCCCCGATGCTTAAACCCCTTTGCTAGCTCCCCTATTCCCTAAAGGAATTTGGGCCTCTCCACTTTGGCTTTACTGACTGCTCCAGCTGCCCTTCCAATTTCATGCCCCTATTTTTTAAGGGCCTTGGACCATTTCCATTCTGTGAACGCGCTGTGCTCATGTTCTTTCCACTGCTTTTCCCTCTTCCATCCCTCTGGTTGGCTTCTGTTCCCCCTGTAAGATCAAGCTCAATAAGTCCTTCTCAGTGAAATCTTCCTCGTCTCTGTGGACAGGGCTCCCAGAACAATTTCTCATGCTATGCTACACTTGATTCCATGACGGTGTTCTCTGGTCTGTCATGAGTTTCGGGAGAAGAGGGACAGTGACACAGATGCTGCCCTCACCTGCTGACATTGCCATGGTGGTGCCAGCCACCATGCCCATGGCCACACCATTGGTCCTGGGGGCAGCAACAGGCGCCGGGTAGATGGCAGAGGGAATGCTGTTGGGCTGGACAACCGTGGTGTGGTGGATGACGTGGGGCTGAGCAGCATACACCGGCTGTGTGTAGTAGGCTCCCTGGGGGAAAAAAAGTTGAGGTCATACAGGCTTTTGGAGACGTGGGGTAGGATATGGAGAGAGGAGGAAGGAGGGGAGACCTTTCTTCCCAGACCCTATGAGATGGGCTCAGAGGAGCACGGGCCCAGGGACTCAAAGTATGGGCCCCAGTGGGACTCTGCGTCTGTCTTACTACATGACTGTGGACAGTTCGGTATTAGGCTCAGCTTCTCGTATGAAAAATAAGGCTCCAACCCTGTCCTGCCTTGCTTCTAGGGCTGTTATGATGATCTGATGGGGTAATAGCCCTGATTTTAATATTTTAAAATGTCTGTATCCTATTGCAGTGTGCTTCTGCAAGCTGCCTAAAATGTAAAGGCAGGGACTATAGCCCATGAGAAAAGATATGGATGGGGCTGGTGAATCCAGACCACTGTGTGCATGCACATGAAGCATTACTAGTGGGACGGTCACACTGGTGTGAGTCCTGCCATCTCACCTATTGGAAACTGTCAAAAATCCAAAGCATTTCCTCAGATGTCTCTTACTATTTCCCTAGGCAAAGAGGTGAGGATGGAGACAGAGGTCTGAGGTGACTTCCCACTGCCTAGATCACATGGCTGCTTCCTGCTGCCACAGCTCACAGTCCTACTGACCTTTTTGAGGAGTAGACACAGGCCTCTGGATCATCTTAATCCAGAGCTTCTCAAATGCCTCTACTAACTACTGACAGGGGCCACAGAATATGGGTTTATAATCCCAGAGGTCTGAGAACATAGTGCAAAGCAGCTTACCATAAACAAGAAAAATCCATCTTAGGCCTGTTGTCTTATCTTTCAAGTTTCCCATTCTACTCTACAACGTAGCTGTTTTCTAAAGTGTTCTCCTCACTACTTGAAACATCACGAAGAATGGTCACCCCAGAAAACTGTGCCAGGTGCATACTGGAGTTCACAAAGTCCCTATCATACCATCCCCTCAGAGTACACACATCCTCTAGCTGAAGGAGCCCAGATGGGGACATGGAGGCACAGAGAGAGAGAGAGTAACTTACTCAAGATCACACAGTGAACTGGTAACAGAGCCTGAGCCCTTATCTCCTCCCTGTTTAGATCATGGACTTTATCAAGGAAGGGTAGATGTGGGGGTTAGGGAGAGAAGCCCAGACACTTTGGGTCTCATCCTTACTCAACTAATAGTTCCTCCTATGTGACCTTGGACAAGTCACATAGTGACAAGAACACAAGTCTGGGTCTCAGCTTCCCCACTATATAAAAAGGAATTGAGCTAGATGATCTCCAGGGGCCCTTGCTCCTCTGACATTCTAGGCTCTGTTAATCTAAATGACTTCATGTGTAACCCCTCCAGGAGCTGAGGTGGGGTGAGAGAGTATGTAGACTACAGGGCTATTGTTTCCATGATACCACAGTAACAACTGGCCAGAGCCATGAAGTTGCCTTCCCTCTCTTTCTCAGCCACCCCCACCCCACCTAGGGCAGTGGCTCCTCCTCCTGAGGTGGGCCAAGGCTTCCAGATGCACCTACCTGTGCATACAGATTCTGCTGGGGGTAGGCACTTCTGATTGGATACATGGCCGTCTGATAGGGGTTGGGTGATGGGGAGTAGGGGGGCGGAGCAGTATTACTCTGGGTTGGTGGGACCTTGTATGGTGTCCCCGCAGTATATCCTGTACCAAGGCAATAAGAGAGACTTCCAATTAGTTGACAGAACAGCATTGTTGGAAGACAGCAGGTCCCAGTCACGACTCCCCAGACAAGGAGGGGCTGGTTCCAGGCTGGAAACACAGATGAGAACAGAGAACAGGGCTCCACCCAGAAAGCCCTGGGCCCAGAGGCAGCTCCCTCAGTCCTGGTGCACAGGGCTGCACGAGTGATTCTGGCATCTTTTATTTCTCTAGTTCTCAGGGGTATGATCTATAAAATAAGAGGCCGGAACCAGATGATCTCTTAAGGGACCACTGCAGCACTGACGGTCTGGGATTCTGTGTACCAGGAGATGGGCGTGTGTGCACAGACAGAAGGGAGAGCCTCTGCCCACTCACTCCCTACTGTGATCCGTCTTCCTGCTTTCTCTCGCCTCCCTCAGCGGCCCAGGGTGTCTTCTGTTTCTGGTTTTCTTGCTTTCCCCCTTACTCTCTTTCGTTTTTTCCTTATCTCTCTCTCTTTTTGGACTTCTCCTACCATGTTCCTCTTCTTCCCTGACAATTTTAAGGCGAAAAGCCCACAGAAGACACCATTCACAGAGCCTCATCTTCTGAGATGCTAAAAAACTGCCCTACAGAGCCAGCTTTTCCTCCACTCCTGCAGCTCAGGGAAGGACTACCTCCCGCCTCAAGACCTAAGGTCCGGGGTCATAAAACTTCACATCAACCTGGAACTTAGCCCCAGGGAATTCACAATCAGCCATTCAATAAAACTGTGCTGCCTTTGAATCTTCTGGAAAATAGAGTCAGATCCTACGTTAGCAGGAAAAACCTGAAACATAAAACACTCAGGAACAAGACCATGTACTTTCAGAACACAAAATGAAGTGATTCTATGGAAACTAGATGATCAAGTGACCCCCAACTCTCTTACTCAGAAAGGGCAAGTGTTTTTAGGAACTACTACTGAGTTGAAGTGCCAGTGCCAGGAGACCTTGGCTTCTGATCTCGAAAGGGGTGTTGCTGGAGCTTCTTCCCTGTGCCAGCTCATTCTGGCTCATTCTGGCTCAGTTTGCCTGGCAAATCACTGGGCTTCTCTTGGCCTCAACTCAGCTCTTTTACCTATGGGATGCTCACCAAGGACTTTTGTCAGCAACATGGTACTGATTCTGCAATAAGGGACTTGGGGGCAGGGTGAAGAGAGGTGGTTTCTTGGGAGAGAACAGATCTAGGTTTTAGTCTAGGCTTTCTTCCAATTTGCAGTGACTACTGCCAAGTCTCTGGGTCTTCGTTTCCTAGACTGTTGAAACAGAAGGCTAAGAATGAAGATCTCTTCCTGAACTAAAATCCCATTTTTCTAAAGATCTTGAGTCTCTTCTACCTATGGCAAGCTGCCATAGGGTCACAAATCTCTCATTCCACAGCACTGGCTTGGCATCCCCCGCCCCCATGATGAGGTACTCAGCAAGGAGAGCTGCTGTGGTGGTTACAAAAGGCACCACCAAAAAGTGTCCCGTCGGGGCGCCTGGGTGGCTCAGTGGGTTGAGCCGCTGCCTTCGGCTCAGGTCATGATCTCGGGGTCCTGGGATCGAGTCCCGCATTGGGCTCTCTGCTCAGCGGGGAGCCTGCTTCCCTCTCTCTCTCTCTGCCTGCCTCTCTGTCTACTGTGATCTCTCTCTGTCAAATAAATAAATAAAAATTAAAAAAAAAAAGTGTCCTATCCTCTTCCTTGGAATCCTGTCATTTAATCTTCCCCTTTCAGATCCATAGTTTGTTCCATGGGAAGCTAGTTTTGTGGTCACATGTGCTTGGGAAATAAGTAGCAATGAGGATGGAGTGGAATACATGCATGAGAAGGTGGCACTGTGAAGAACTAGAAACTAACTAGATGTGGAGGTACGAGTCTGCTGAGAAAGAGAAGTACGGAACAGGGTCCTCCAAGTTTCTGGACTGTGGTGCTAATTACGATACATAGTTAGAGCAGGTGAAGCAGATACTGTGGGGGAAGAGAGGAAGTCTAGGCTTGTGACACCTAAAAGGAGCCACCTGAGGGCTCCTTCACCTTGGAGTGAAGAGTAGCAGCAATGTAGAATAGAGATAAATAGGTTTAAATGAGAAGTTTTAAATGACAGGATGAACTATGAATCACCAAGATAGGGATATGCAGGAGACTTTTTCCAAATTTATTTATTACCAAATCTTTTATTCACGCTATTAACATTTAAAGCACACAAACTACAGGGGTGCCTGGCTGGCTTGGCTGGAAAGGCATGTGACTCTTGTCTCAGGGTCGTGGGTTTGAACCTCACACTGGGTGTAGAGATTGCTAAAAATAAGTAAACTTAAATAAGTTAAATAAATAAAACATGCAAACTACAATTTTTTTTTTGTAATCACAGTTTATTTTGGGAAGTAAAGTTTTACTGTGACATGGCCATGCCCATTTACTTATCAACTATAGCTGCTTTCCTGCTACAATGGTAATCACGACAGACACCATATGGCCCGAGAAACCTCCAATACTTATTATTATTTGGTCCTCTATAGGGAAAGCTTGCCGACTCCTGATTTGAGGAATAAGGTATGAGGAGTCTTGCTAGGGTGGAGAGAATCTCTTTTCTATGCAGAAGGGCAGGACACCCCTGAATCCTAAGATGCCTGCTCTGAAAGCTATACAGCACACTGTAATGGCTGTGAGTAGTCCGGAGCCACACTGCCTGGTCCGAACCCCAGCCCTGCTATCTAATAGCTACAGACTACAGCAGTCTCATCATCTGTAAAATGGGGATCACAACAGTACCTACTTCAGAGGGTTACTCTGATAAGCACATTAATGAATAATTGCAAAGCCCTTCAGAGAGTGCCTGGCACATTAAAAGCACTTCATAAAAGTGAGCTATTACTCTTTTCTTTCTTTGTGTGTAGAGAAATAGTAAGCTTCCTGTCCTGGGGATGTGCAAGCAAGAGATTGGTCTGCAAGACTACAGTCGTGAGGTTCAACTATGACTTCCGTGATGCGACCCAATTTGGGACACAGACTCCAGGATTCTAAGATTCTAAACCTGTATGGTTTAAAATGCCATGACTTCATAATACTTTAAAGTTAACAAGCCAGTGATGCTGGCATCTTTCCCTCATGCTCCCCAAGAATGTGCTCTGGAGTTTTTATCCCCTGGGTAAGCCTGCACTACACCCTCTATGCCACAAGGACAACCATCTTACAAAGTGTTGAGGTCTTCTCTCTCTGAGGAAAATCAAAAAGCTCCAAGAGACTGCAGGAGAATTTGGTTTCCACATCTAAGAATAACTTTGTCTGAGAATGTTTCCCTTTCTTCATGTTTTAAAATGAGATGCACACATGCGCAGCATACAAATCAGCAGCCAAAATGCCCTTGGCAGCCAAAAAGACGAGGCTGCAGAAGAAAGCCCTGCTCATCTGTCCGGGCGGTTTGAGAAGGGAGAAGCAGAACTTAGAACTAGAGGAGACGTTAGAGGCCATTAAGCCCAACACAAACATTTCACAGATGAGATGACGGATAGATGGAGGAGAGAGTGCAACTGCTCGCCAGGACTCAGGACTCAGTGCTCCTTCCTCCAACTACATTGGTTCTCAAGGTTTCCATCTGGGTCAGGAGGCTGCAGAAACTGCCTAGGCCCCTAGCCTAGGCTCTGTCAATGAGCCAGGTCAATTCTTTTCTCAAGGAATACCCTTACTTGGACTAGATATTTTAGGCCATTCTGGTGCTGGTGTTCCAAGTCTCTGAGTATTTCAGTGCAACTTTCATGAGCAAATCCTTTTAGAGGACTTTTTATAGCTAACTGGTGGTCCTGTCCATACCACTGAGGATCAGAAATTCCCCTGGGGCTGGAGCCTGGGCTACCTTGGGTAACACAAAATTTGAGGATTTATTACTCTGCATCTAAGTAAAAAAAGCTGTTGGGCTGGATACAAAAAAACCTCATTGGTGTTGCCCACAGGAACTCAGACTCTGCTCCCTCACTGGAGGCCTGGCACTTGTGGATGGATTTCTACCTAAGTCCGAAGGTTACAGAATGAGGACTTTGGAACACTATGCCTTAAGGACATTAGAGACTTGCATTCAACTCTCTGTGTTTCAAATGAAGAACCTGGAGCTGAGAGGGGGCCAGGGACCTTCCCAAAACTGCATAGCAAATCCGTGCAGAGCTGGGCTCAGAGTTCAAGGCTACCATGCCCCGGGCTGGGCTCCTTTCTGAGTTATTGGTCTCTGCAGTCCAATCTTAGACATTTGGCATATTGGCCTTTGTGTCCTTATTTCACTAAAGGCAATATCATATGACAGAAAAAAAAAGAATTAGATCACTAGAAATCCCAGCTCTGCCTTATGAAAGAGGCTTTATGAGGCCCTGTTCTTTCTCTCAGATTTCTAACTATAATTTTAGGCTCCATTAAACAGGATAATAAATAGAGTGTATACATTAGTGAGATGAAATCATTTCAGCCCTGCCTTCAATTTTTCTGCACTATCATAAATCTTTTTTTACGGGGTTGGGAGAGCCCCTACCACCTTTAAAGGTCCTCACATCAAGGATGCCTTTTAGACTAAGTGGTTTATTGACCGTCAGATATTAACATGTTGGAACAAAGCTCTATGTCTGAGTCTTGCCTTGACCCCCGAGTCTCCTTGTTGGTAGCCAAACAACCTGTTTATACTGTGGAATAAACAGGAGGGAGACCTAATTACAAACAGGTTTAGCAAGTATTAGTAAAATTGAATTTGTCAAAGAATCTTGAATTTTCTGTGGCATTAGAAATCACAAAAATCTGTGTGCTGGGAGGAACCCTGGTGGATGGGGAGGGTGAGTCGAGTCCACTTCTATTTCACAATTGCACAGGTTCACACAGGACTTGCTTAAAGAAGAACAGGTGCATTTTGGTTCTTTCCAGGAAATGTGACAGCCTTTGAGAGGACAGTGGGAGTAGCTGCTGGACATTTCAATGGGACTTCAGGAAGATTTCCACACAGGAGAAGGCAAAGCCTTCTATTATTCAGACATTCTCACTGTAGAAAGGGTTGCTGTGGAGGGAATGAGTACCCTGGAGATAGGTGAGTGAAGGCTAGTTGGTCAACTATGGGCAGGGCAGCCAGAAAGAATGTCCCTGCTGGGGTGTGGGTGTTGAGTACACTACACCAAGGTCACAGAATCGGGAGTCTAAAAGCTAGAGAGAACTTAAAGAATACCTAGTCCTGTCCCTTCATTTTACAGTTGGAAAAACGTAGGTCCAAAACTTGGACATAAATTATCCAAGGTTACACTGAAGCATGTCTAGAATCTAACTCTTCTGGTCTCTGTCCCAGGCCTCTTTCTGTTCCACTACAGTAGGTGTGTCTAAACGCACCTACAACCGTATGTGTGGATTTAAGAGAAAATATGTATGTACAAGCCTGCTTACCTATACGTTCATTCAGTTCCACCTGAAGCACCTGAAAAAACTCCCTACTACCCGCCATCCCTCTCTTAATGAGTAAAATTAATCTCATGGAAAAAGTCAGTAAATTTAACCTGAAACTTAATCTGAGTGATATCATCTTTTTGTAGCTGTGCTGCTGGCTACTTGGATGGCACTGGACATATTACCTTTCTGAGCCTCAGCTTTCAAACTTGAATGAATGAAAATCCACCATAATAATAGGACTCTAGTGTAGGTTAAATGAGATGGTGATTATTAAAGCAAATCCTCTAACAGGTGAGAGTTATGTTGTTTAAAGGTAAGTTGATGTTAACAACTAGAGGCAATGGTAAGTAAGGAGAAAATAACACAGGTATTTTAAAGAAAAGAAAAAAATGCAGCATATTCTTCTAATCTACTTAAAAGATTAATACTTTACTGAACCCCAGACTATCAGGCCTAGTCTACAGCATCCCGCCAAGGGTACGTCAAACCCCTGCCAGCACAATTTAAGAAATAAGCACTCCCCCCATCCAGAGCCAGCCACTCCTCTTTTGGACAGCTCCAACAAGGCATAAAATCTTCCTATGGAGTCCAAGTGCCACTCAGTAACTTCCAAACACGGGTCCTCATTTTACCCAGGGGAGCCTTCTTGTATTAAAAATCAGGTGTGAAGGTGAAACCATTAGTCACCCCGCTGAACCTCAAGATGAGTGTAAGCAATCTGGCCAGATGGTTTCTGTCTTCCCTGGGGACTCCAGGTACACACCTTGCTCCCTAAGTGTAGCTTCCACTAGGGGAGGTTTCTCACGGGGAAGGCAATTCTGCCTCCCGAGGAGATCTTTAGAAATGTTTAGAGATATTTTTAGTTGCCATAATAAGGGTTTGCTGGCACCCAGGGAGCTGAGGCCAGGAGATTCTGCTAAGTGTCCTACAATGCAACAGTTAGCCCCCCACAACAAAGAATTATCTGGTCCAGATGTCCATAGGGGCAAGGCTGAGAAACCCTCTGCAGCTGGAGGAGACTTCTCTGTCCAAAGGTCCACTGACCTTCAGAGATGCCCTCTGTTCTTTCCTTTGAAATGCAGTACCAGCTCTTCCCTAATCGTACTTGTGGGCCAGGTGCATACTTCCTCCTCCCTCCCTCACTGCTTTGTGTCTCCCCAAAGCTGTGTACACGATCAATGAGGAAGGTCAATTTTTTGTGTGGGTAGGAGAACCTCTTAAAAGAGTATCTTCTAATGTCAGTTTTAAAAGTTCCCTTTCCTTTCTTCCTAAGAAACAAATCAGTCCCAACCAAGGGGAACAAGGAAAGGAAGAGACAGGCTGTATTTACTGAAAGCCGCAGAGGATGCTTGGTAAGTTCGGTTCTCGGTCCCGGTGTCCACTGGGAGGTGGAAGGTGCCTTCAGTACCACAGGAAGACGAGTTCTGTGGCCAGGCCTGTTTCATCAGCAGAGTTGCTTAAGGGAAGACACAAGAATGGCATTAGGCAGAAATAAGAAGTGGGCACCACCAATCACAGACAAAAAGCAAGGGTCTTGTGCTGGATGGAAACATATAACCCGAGGGGCCCTGCTCAGACACACAGGATGGTTCAGCCTTTCTGAGATGGGTGAGTGGGTTGGGAGAACTGCTGACGTGAACTTCTAAATGATTCGAAACCGAGGAAAACTGAGCTTACATTAACAGAGCCAGGATTTTCTACCCACTACCAAAAACCAGGAAGATGCCTACGACTACCACCTCCTACTGCCTGACATTCTGGCCTAAGGCTCTGGGATAGTCCTTAGCAGCTTTCTTACTAATATGGAGCAACTTGGGAGCCTCCGACTGTGTACTGGGCCAGATCAACTGAGTATTCATTTTTTTATGCCTGAAATCTCACCTGGGCAGTCATTAAGTTATTCCCAAAGAGAGACCTCAAAAGAATTACCACATGACATGAATGCTGTTGGACTGTCACCTCCTCTAAAGGGACTGAGCTCTGGCAGTTCGGAAGGCACAGGTTGTCCAGTGGGGCACTTCCCACTCCTTCTCCTGTACGCCCAGCTGGGGCCAGACAGATAAACCTCTTGCACACATTTTTATACTTCCTGGTGAGGTGCTGCTGGTGCCCCACTTGAGATGTCCTCTCATGAATTAGAGAGCATCTGCTGGGCCATTAAGAAATTATATGTCAAACTTGGGGCAGGTATAAAATAGAGATGCAGCCCAGTTTGAAAGAAATCTGCAGAGACTTCCCAGGCTGACCTGAAGCTCAGCTTGAGAAATTTGAAGGATGATGCTTCATATGATCTAGAAGTCGGAATGACTCAAAAAACTTACCTTCATGGTATCCTGTGGGAAAGGAGAGAGGAAAGAGGGTTTCAAAGGGGGGGAAAATGCCTAACTTTTTAGAGATTTCTCTTGACATATTTTCTCCTAGAGGAGAAACCATTTTTCACCCAAATTTCTACTTAGAGTAGGAAGAATAATTTCAACAGTATCTTTTGCACTCAAGATCTTAGACATGAGGGGTTTTAAAGAACATTAGCTGGATGGGAGGGGGGCTACAATGGCAACAGTTCAACAGGGGGCTAAGGTAAAGCAGGGCGGTATGAGAAGTATGCCTATACACTCTAATTCCACCAAGGCAAGGCCGGTCCTCCTTCAGAGAGACCTCATAACCCCTCCGCCCAGCCAGGTTAACATGTAATGCCTCTGATTCCTTCAATCATGAAGGTACTGGGGCCAGAGGAGGAGGTCAAGGACTCTGCTGTTTTGCTGAACTAAGGCTAGAGGTGTACCTGTTCTGGGCTGACACTGCACTTGCATTCATGGCCCGCAATATATACAGCAGATGCTGAGAAATGAGAAGGAAATCATGGGCAGGAAAGTGACACTAAAAGGAGAATTCCGGCAGAAGAAAGGGAGATCTAGCAGAATCCCATGCAGAGTCCAAAGCCTTTGCTGGACATCAGGACATGGCTCTGCAGACAAAATTGGAGGAGGGCAGTCAGTTTTAGGTTTCCTTTCCCCAGTGTGGGGGTAGGGGAAGTCGGGATTAATAAAGGATCCAATTAGTGTTGAAAACTCTTATCAAAATGTCTCCAAATTTAGAACCAGCCACTCGATGTGCTGGAAAGCCCTGGTCACTCAAAACAACTCCCTAAAAAGTAAAACATATAGTTCTGAGAAGTCACATGTCCTCAAGACCCCTTAGGGACTCCATAAGGAATCAGGAGGCCTGAATTTTGCCACAGAGAATTTGGATGTCCTGTTCCAGTCCAGTTTTTTTCCCCAAGTGGTGCATACTTTACCATAATTTTCATCATAAGCCAAAAGTCTGACATTAGTCTGAAGGACTGCATGACAAAGTAAATCAAAATTAACCAAAGAGTACTGAAGCCTACACTGCACTCAGCACTGAGGGGAGCACCACGGTGGACAGGAACACACGTGGGTCATAGTCACCGCACACAAGGTATTCATGGGCCAGCTGGGGATGCAACACAGCCACACGCCAACCAGAAAGTGAACAAGACAGCATTACACACAATAAAATAACATTCCAGATTAACCAGGAAAGAAGCAAGTGCGACTGTGCCTTTGATTATGTCTTGTCTAACTGATCGAGTGAACTAAACTATGTATGTTCTTGAAGAAGTGTGTATTTTCTTCTGGTTTCATTGAAACCAGAAAATAAGAAAACAAATACTAGTATTTTCTGTATTTCTCTATTTTAATACTTCATAATTTAAATAACTGGACAAATACGAAGACCATGAAAACCAACAAATATTAGCTGTCAATGTGACTTCCTCATTGGTTGGTTGTACCATATGATCTTCGTCTTCCATGTACAATTCTAAAGGAACCCATTCCGTTGGTGGTAGCAATTCAGAGTTCAGTTGTGGGACAAAGACAATCCAATGGAAACTTCAGAGGCACAGTAAGAGAGAAGGCTGCCCTGGCAGGCATGCCTGCTCTTGGGTACCATGGAAGGTACCAACTCCTAGAAATGTTCTAGGTTTTGAACTGGGTAGTAAATACAAGTGTATACGTATGTCAAAATTACCAGCTGTACATCTGAAACTAGTGCGTGCTATGTGCTACTGTATAGGTGTTATTCCTCAATTTAGAACAGAGGCAGAGAGAGACAGAGAGAACCCTTGGCAGTGAAGGGCCATGGCCCAGTCACAGCATGCTGCCCACATCCAGGTGCTGGGTTGTTCACTTCCTGGGATACGGGGCCCTCACGCCCTCTGACACTTGAACAATCTGTTAAGCACACTTACAAGGAGGAGAGGCAGCAAGGGACCATCATCCTGAATAATCCAATAAGTCAGAAAATCTGAGTTCTAGCCTGGGCTGTGCCACTTACTAGCTGGGGGACCTTGGGCAAGTCACCTAACCTTCCTAAGCTTCAGTTCTGTTGTCTCATAAAATAGCAATAATACTCTCTCCCTGACTGCTTCATACTGTTGATGTGAGGATCAAAAGTGAAGTGCCATCCAGTCTTACAGTTTCTAACTTTGGCATCTGCTCATCTTCCATCACCATAGTTCTGGACAGTTCTAATGTAAGTTCCCATCATCTCTTAACGACTACGACTTCTTCCACATTGTTGACTTTAAACCTGCCAACTCCAATCTCCAAACTGTAATCAAGAGATATTTCTAAGACCTAAACCTAATCACAAAATCTTAAAAGCATTCCATGGTTCTCCACTGCCTACAGGCTAAGGCGGAACTTCCTATTTGGCATTCAAGGACCCTCATGATCTAGCCCTGTGATCCCTCTAGACTCTCACTGTTCTCACTTTCCAATCCTACACTACAGCTACACAAACTCTATCATTCCCAGATTATGCCAAGAAGTGTCACATCACATCTCTGTATTTTTGCTCACATTGTTCACTCTTCCTGGTATGTCTTTCCCCAAATGCCACCTGTTAAAAATGTATTAATCCACCAATCATGAGCTTGCCTCTACTATGAAATCTTTTCTCTTCCCCGCCCTTTGACCACAGTTCCTTCCCTATCCTAGTTTCTGTGATTCTTAGAAGCCCCGGTACTTGCTGCCTTATGTGTCTCCCCCACTAAACTGTGAGTTTCTTTAGAATAGGGAGCTTGTCTTATGGTCTTTATCTTTAAAGGGCCAGTGTAGGGTCTGGCACAAAACGTTTTGTGAAGAGAAGGGCTCCACACATACTTCTTTAGTATTGCTATTTCAGATGTTATAACTAGAGGGGTAAGGAAACATGAAAGCTTCTCCTACTTTTTATGGAGTCCTCTGTCCAAGTTCATATATACCGAGGCAAACAAAAAATGGACTCTCCATATATGATAAGAGGAACAGGTCTATGACTAGCAAAAGCTAAAATAATACAATTATAAGAGGATACATTATTAACAATTAAAGGGACCTAAGAGATCATCTGGAACAAAACACTACCTATGGCCTGGAGACATTAGCAAATTGCCCAAGATCGCGCAGCCCACAGCAGCGGCAAGGAGAAATTTTCACAGCTCATCTTCTGAAAGATGCGCCACACACAAATCCAATATTCAACATCCAAATAATTCAAGGTTAGAAGCTGAGAAAGTGTGCAGGGATTTTAATGAAAACATTGTCCTGAGCAGCCCAGGTGAGGGTAGTGAAAGTGGCAAATCCCTCCCATGGTCCCTTACTGTCTGACAAAAAGGACCTAGTCCAGTTACACTGCTGGGACCCTCACAGGTGCCCAGAAGTTCCCGTGGTGCCTTGGGCCTGGAGTCCACACTGCCCAGAGGACCTCACTTATTTAGCACACTTGGCCCTCACCTCTCACCATCCAGGAAAATGCCCTGAAAATGAGTCAGAGCTCAAGATCTGGGCTAAGGGAACAGATTGTATCTAAGGTCAACCAGGTCTTCAAACATGTCAGACTGCCAATGGAGATGGAAAATTAGATCCTGGGGCAGACTGTTTTTTGGGGTTCTTATAGGCATAATCCAGGTACTCCTCCACAGGGGCTGCCACAAAGCCAACAGAGGAGACATACAGGCTGAAGAATTTTGTTCACTAGATTGTTTGAATTCAGCAACCAGGTTAGGGTGAACATTTCTGACCTAGGTCAGACAGGACCCCGGAGGTGAGGAAGGGGAAAGATGCCTTTTAGTGCCATGATCCTTCATTGCTGCCCTAGGGGATGACTCATGTGTGTCTCCAACCCATGATTTTGCACCATCAGACATGTTCCTGCATGCTTTAGGAACTGCTGCTGAGCCACCTGGGGGAGCCCAAGCCTAAGGGATGGGATTTGGGGAGGGAAAGAGAGGGGATCTACCGTTGTTATGAGATAACACATTCATAGGCCATAATACAGATGAGGAAAAATAGCTCTCCTACCATAAGCTGAATGCAGGAACTGAAACTCTGTTGAATAGAAATGTTAGTTGAAATTACCACTAAGAATTTGTGCAAAGTAGTACATATCGCAGTTACAAAAACAGACTGTCTCAAGATAGCAGTTTCCCCCAGGTGACATAAGAAACAGTGAATGCAGAGGGTGTGAAGTGCCTCTACCCCAGAAGGAATGACAGACTTGCCATCCAGAAAAGCCCATTCATTGAGGAGAACCACCTCCTTGATGCCCTGGCATCTTCCAGGTAGCTGACCCAAGTTAGTGCTCTTTGCAGAGCAGAGGGACTTCACACATGACAGAGGCTTAATGTACCAGAAGTAAGGTACAGGGACAAAATCATCAGCTGTGGCCTCTGAAGAACTCTCTGTAAAGCCCCACAGGGCTAGGACCAATGCAGAGACACTTCCCTCAAAACTTCTGGGAGACTGTGGTGCTTTTAGAAGGAGCACAGGCTATGGGGTCAGATAGACTGGGTTTGAATTCCAGCTTCACTGCTTTTTAGCTGTGAGACTCTGGACAAGTTATTTAACCTCTGAGCAAAACTGGAAGCAGGAAGATCCAAGTCACACAAGACTAAAGTAAGAACATTTGTGACATGCCTTGCACAGTGTCTGCAATATGACAGGATTCAGAAAACACATATTCCTCTCCCTTGCCTTTCCTCACATTTGTCATATGCAAAATAGGAACAATACATTTGTACTTTTTTTTTATATTTGTACTTTATAAAGTTGCAATGAGATTAAGTGAGATAGTAGATGGAAGTGGCTTATAAACCTCTTGTGATGAGGTATTTCATTTCTATCTATATGAGTTATTCTGTTTATCCTTTCATTTTCAAGTCAGATTACCAATAATGTGATACATCCTTTGGTTTCCAGATTCTGAAAGTAAGTCTCAGTTGGCTCCCACCTCCTGCAGGGCCAAACGGTTCTTAAATAAGATCCCTGAAGTCATTAAGAGCTTGGAAAAAAAGCTCCAAGTACCCACACTGCTTTCAGAACCAATGAAAGAGTGAAATGTTTCCCTGCATCCTGAACAGATGACATCTTAGAGTACTCAGAGCTGCTAAAAATAGCTCTCTCTGAAGCAACTTCTTGGTCTCCTTGAAGAAGCTGAGAGAAATTTAAACCTGAGAGCCTGGCTCCTTTGCAGGCTTCTACCCCGCAGGCATCTCATGGCATCACAAATGGCTGGTTCTGGCAGGAAGCTGAGAGGAACCTACACCGCCTTCTCTGTCCTTGAGCCAGCTCTTCCTCAGCAGGAGCTCCCCTACGGCAGTCAGAAGACCTAGTGAATGCTGAGGCTCACCTCCCAAAATACGAAACAGACCAGTTGCGCATGCGTGCGTTGTGTCTGTGTGTCTAACTCCAAAGGAAAGGGATCTGTTCAAGGTCACACCAAAATCAGCAGGAGAGTTAGTGCTATAACCCCAGTCCTTCCAACTCCTAGTTTGGGGCTTTCTGACACAATATGTTAACATCACCCTCTATAGTGTATGGGTTTCTAAGGAAACACAAATTTGGGGAAAATAAAGTTAGGTGAGGGCTGATATTTTGTCTTAAAATTAGTTTATTAGTACTTTACACATGCTAGGAGCTTTCCAATCTCATCTCCTTATTCCACAGTCCCAGGCTCTTCCTGTCTGCTCTCCCTAGTCTGGTTGCTCTAGTTTAACTCCTTAATCTCTCTCTGCCCAACTGTGGAACACACAGCAGGATGCATGGTTTGGATCTTTGGCCAGTTCCCAACTTCTCTAAATTTTAGTTTTCCCACTTGGAAAATGGGAATAACGACAGTAATGACTTCAAAGGTTTGTTGTGATAGAAAACAAGTCAATATCCAGAAAAAAGCTTAAAATAGTCCCTGGTACATAGGAACCATTCAACAAATATCACCAATTTATTTTTATTTTCTGTACTTCTACTTTCTTGGCAAATTAATCCTCAAACAATTCCAGAAACCATCACCATAAGTTCTGAACATTATGAAACAATACCCCAGTGCCGGACATCAGAGCTCTGATGACTTCACGGCCTGCACCCTCTGTGGGGCCTCCTGTTACACAGCTGTGTTACCTTCTCCTTCCAGTAAAGCTTTCACACCTTGACCTCTCTCCTTAAGAACCATTCCTCTATCCTTGTTCGCCCCTCTCTCAGCAAATCAAAATCATTAGACAAGATCTCTCCACTTTCCACCGGGCAACTTATTTTAAGCACATCCATCTATGACTTTTTCTTTAGTCTGAGAGGGAAAGCTGCCCTCCTGTATGAGGCACCCACTCCACCTGCTCCCCAAAACAAAGAAGAGAACAGAGCTCTGGATTTCTCACCTCACCAAAGCCTCCTTGAAGGCCTGGCTCCTTCTGGTACCCCTCCTCCTACACCTCTGACTCTGCATCAAAACTTACTTAACCATGCTCATATCTAAAAAAATCCCTCCTTTAATCCCACCTTCCCTTGTTCTCGTTGCCCTCTTAGAAGCCTCTTGTAAGAGCAGGCTCTATCCACTAACTCGGCGTCTTCACTCCCAGCCTCACCATCTCATGGACTGCTTCCACATGTCACGGCAGCCTCCTGACTACACAGACAACCCATCTTCTTTGTTCCTGACCTTAGCTGACCTTCTACTACAACAACTCACCTCATTTTGTTTCAGACCAGGCAGTTTACCAAGCCAATTCACAGATCTCACAGCATTTAGATTTAACTCATTTCCATACTGTGAGAGATAGAAAACCACTGTTTTTTTTTTAAGACAGAACTTATCAAACTTGATTAAATCTTTTATCAGAGTTAATTTCTACAGATTTTATTGTTTCTTCCTCACAGTATACATTTTTTAGAAATACATATCTTATTGACTAAAAGTGAATACAGAATAAACTATTAATGCTGAGATGGATTTTTTTAGCCTATGGGTCACTGCTACCCTCACAAGCTCTGAGGGCAATGACTTTTAGCTTCCTCGAGTTTGAATTACATCCAGTGTCTTCCAGAGTGCCTTGGACATCGCAGGCCAAAATAAATGTCTGTGGAATGATACAGCTATGTAAAGCACTTTAGGGGTTAACTACACTTATTTGCATAAAATAGTTCTTGTCTCCCAAAAAAGACAGGATCCACAGTATGTGTGTACATGTGTGTACAAATGCAAAATGACCATACTTCAGAATGAAGTAACTGAGGGGGCACCTGGATGGCTCAGTCATTAAGCATCTGCTTTGGGCTCAGGTCATGATCCCAGGGTCCTGGGATCGAGTCCCGCATCAGGCTCCCTTCTCAGAGAGAAGTCTGCTTCTCACTCTCCCTCTCCCCCTGCTTGTGTTCCCTCTCTCGCTGTCAAATAAACAAAATCTTAAAAAAAAAAAAAAAAGAGAGACTACTTTGGTGTTTTATTTTTTTATTTTATTTTATTTTATTTTACTCTGGTGTTTTAAAAAGAATGAAATAACTGAGGTTCAGAGAGGTCAGGTGATTTAAAGTTGCTAATTTAGGAAGTCACAGAACTCAAACCCAAGTCTTCTGACATGGCCCATGTTCTCTCATTTAAATATTCTAGAAGAAAGGGAATGATGGTAGGATGAGTGCTACATGGGCACAGAAAGGCATGAGACCAAGAACCAGAAGATCTGCCTAAGGTTCCAGTCCCTGTGCTACTGCTGATTCCCTGGGTAACTTGGACAAAACACTGCTTGTCTCTGGATCTCCCATGTCAAGAGAAGGGGTTGAACTGGAGGATCTCTAACGTCTTTTCAAGCTTTTTTAACTCTAATCATTACTAAATAAGAAAGTTGGTGTTATTATGGCATTCAAGGCCTTTCCACACCTTGCCCTTGGACATCAGTAGTTCAGATTCCTCTATTTTCTCCAGCCCCACAGTGTGCTTCAACCTTTCTCACTACTTCTAGGTTCCTCAGTGTCACGTCCTCACACTGCCATCCCTTTGCCCAGGCTCTACACTGTCCAGAATGCCCAATTCTTCCTTTGTGTGCTTAAAAGAACGACCCCTGCTTCTCCCTCGGGTCTCTACTGCTGGACCCCTGTGGAGTCTCCTGTACACTTTCAGCCTCAGGCAGACTGTTGTTCTCTCCTCTGCTTCCTCTCCTTACATGTGTTCTCTTCACAATACTCGTCACACGGCTATAAATTTGTTTAAATGCCAACTACCAAATGAACTGTAAGTTATTTTAGGCAAAGACAGTTCTTTTTCTCAATTCTAGTATGGAGGACATTCAACAAATAAATACTTGTTGAGGGCGCCTGGGTGGCTCAGTGGGTTAAGCTGCTGCCTTCGGCTCAGGTCATGATCTCAGGGTCCTGGGATCGAGTCCCGCATCGGGCTCTCTGCTCAGCAGGGAGCCTGCTTCCTCCTCTCTCTCTGCCTGCCTCTCTGTCTACTTGTGATCTCTCTCTGTCAAATAAATAAATAAAATCTTTAAAAAAAAAAATAAAAAAATAAAAAAAATAAATACTTGTTGAGTAAAGGAAGAGAAACTTATATAAAACCATCTACACCTCTGAGGTAAGTAGCACATTCCTCGGAGAGATGAGCTATCTTGTCCAAGGCCTCACAGCTAGTGAGTTATCAGGATTCAAACCCATGACTTTCTAAAGGCAGTATCCGTACTTTCTCCCACCCCTTGAATGTTAAAGGACCCGCCAAGTGTGAGGGTTAGTATCAGCGGTTAAGACCTCTGCACTGTTCCTAGCCCAAACTAAAAATAACTTTTCAACATTTTCAAATCTATCTCAATCTCTATCCAAGGAGTGGTGGGGCTTTGTTATTTTTGAAAAACAGCTTCCTTGCCTCAGCTTGAAAACCAGCTCTTTATCCTCTGGTGGCAAGTCTCTCACTCTCTTCCAATTCCACATCCAGGAAGTCTAGTGAGTGTGTGTTTGCATCTATGTGTGTCTCAATGGCAGCCTTAGGGGAAACTGAAAAAAGAATGGATTTGGACATTGTTTGGGAGAACAGAAAAAGTTCTGTGAGGAGGATGCATGTCTCAGATATGCCAGCAGAGCAGAGATGGGCCAAACTTAAGTCCCAAGGAGAATGGGGGAAATTCTATTCCCACCCCAACCCTGAGTCCAAACTGCCCCAGTTCCCAGAGGGGACTCCCAGGAGAATCAGGCTTGGACAGGCTGAGTCCAGAGCGATTAAGGACAAGGAAAGGCCAGCAGATGGGTTTGTTTTTCCAAACAGAGCCCACCTCCCACCCCAGGCATTACTGCTGGTCTCTACTTTCTCCTTACCTGGAGCATAACTGGGGCTATTGGTGGGGTACAGGCTGGGATTGTAGGCAGGGGCTGCTGCCGGGTAGGCTGTAGGGTAACCTGTGAAGAGATAAAAAAAAACACAAAAAACAAAAAACACCCAGGTGGTTGGGCAAGAAGAAAAGGAAACAGAATCCAAATCCCAGGTTTGGCCTTCAGCCTCTTTGAGGGCCTTTTCAGATAGTATATGCAACTAGCTTTTAGCCTCTATGAGGAAAGTCACCAGTAACACAGTCCCAACATATGCAGATTTTTCTTTCTTTTAATTTTTCTAATTTTTAAAAGCAGTATAAGAATTCTGCCTATATACTCACTGTTAAAAAAAAAAAAAATGGAAACACCATAGAAGTGTATGTGGTAAAAAGTCTAAATTCACTCTTACATTCCCGCTCCACTACTACTTTACTCCCCAGGGGTAGTAACAGTTATCCTTCCAAATAGTTTTCTACACATTTTTTCCTTAAAGATTTTATTTATTTGAGAGATAGAGTGAGTGAGAGAGAGAGCATGAACAGGTGCAGAGGGAGAGGGAGAAGAAGCAGGCTCCCGGCTAAGCAGGGAGCCCAACATGGGGCTCCATCCCAGGACCCTGAGGTCATGACCTGAGCCGAAGGCAGAAACTGACTGAGCCACCCAGGTGCCCTCAACACATTTTTATGCACATATTGTCAGTGGTATTCTGGTAAATATTCAACCAGATCTGGCTTGAGAGGATTGAAGTCAAGCTCTATGTGTAGCATTTGCCAAATTCCATGGTATAAATACTCCCACCATGGCCAATTTCAAGCTATCGATGTCAAAAAGAACAGTTGGGAAAAGATGCTTACAACTGGCTCTCTAGCCCACAAGCCAGATCTAGCCTGCCACTGTATATTACATAGAGGGTTTTCTTTTTCTTTTTCTTTAAATGCTTAAAGAATTTTTTAAAGTACTGTTTACTACTCCCCAATGCAGGGCTCAAACCCATGACCCCAAGATCAAGAGTCATATGCTCTACAAACTGAGCCAATGGGGAGCCCCATTTTTGTTTGAAATTTTTATTGGGACAAAATACATATAACATAAAATTTGTGATTTTAACCATATTAAGTGTATAATTAATTCAGTGGCATTGTGTTCACAATGTTTTACAACTATCCCCACTATCTGTTACTAAGACTTCTTAATCACTCCAAACAAATTCTGTACCCAGTAAGCAGTAACATCCCATTCCCTCTCCCCATCGCTCCTGTTAACCTCTAATCTACTTTCTGTTTCTATAAATTTGTCTATTTTAGGTATTTTATATAAATGGAATCATACAATCCCTTTTGTGTCTAGCTTCTTTCACATTTGTTTTAAAGAGGGGGGAGGGGATTGGGAAGAGGGAGAATTGTTTTTTTTTTTCCATTTGAATTTTACTTAGTTAACATAGAGTGCAATATTGGTTTCTGGAGTAGAATTAAGTGATTATTCACTTACATACAACACCCAGTGCTCATCATAAGTGCCCTCCTTAATACCTTTCACCCATCTAGCTCATCCCCCAACCCACCAACCCTGAGTTTGTTTTCAATCTTTCTTTAAGAGTCTCTTACAGGGGCACCTGGGTGGCTCAGTTGGTTAAGCGTCTGCCTTTGGCTCAGAGTCCTGGGATCAAGTCCTGCATCGGGGGGGGGGGGGTCCCTGCTCAGTGGGGAGTCTGATTCTCCCTCTGACTTTCCCCTGTCTCTCGTGCTCTCTCTCAAATAAATAAAATCTTTAAAAAAAACTAAAAATGTCTCTTATGGTTTATTTCCCCCTCTTTCTTCCCTCCCCATCCCATATGTTCATCTATTTTCTTTCTTAAATTCCACCTATGAGTGAGATTACATGGTATTTGTCTTTCTCTGACTTATTTCACTTACCACACTTACACTCTAGCTCCATCCATGTTGTTCCAAATGGCAAGATTTCTTTTTTTTTTTTTTTGAGAGCTGAGTAATATTCCATTGTGTATATCTATATACTACATCATCTTTATCCATTCATCAATCGATGGGCTCTCTCCATAGTTTGGCTATTGTTGATAATGCTGCTATAAACATCGGGGTACATGTACCTCTTTGCATCTGTATTTTTTAAATTAATTTATTTGACAGCGTGCATGAGCATGAGCAGGGGAGCTGCAAAGGGAGCGGGAGAAGTTGGCTTCCCATTGAGCAGGGAGACTGACATGGCACATTCAATCCCAGGAAGACGTGAGCTGAAGGAAGACAACCAACTGAGCTAACCAGGAGCTCCTTGAATCTGTATTTTTGTATCCTTTGGGTAAATACCAAGTAGTGCAGTTACTGGATTATAGGGTAGTTCTATTTTTAAATTTTTCAGAACCCTCCATACTGTTCTCCAGAATAGCTGCACCAGTTTGCATTCTCACTAACAGTATAAGAGGGTTCCCCTTTTGAAAGAGAGAATCTTAGGCAGGCTCCACACCCAATACAGAGCCCAACATAGATCTCGATCTCACAACTGTGAACTCATGACCTGAGCTACCCTCCAGAGTCGATCACTTAGACGGAGGCATCTTCTTTCAGTTTAACATTATAAGCATTTTCCCATATATTCTTCATATTCTTATTCTTCAAAAACATACTCTTCAAGACATTATTTTAAATACTTTTTAATATTCCATTATGTATATAGATCAAATCATTTAACCATTACTGTTTTTAGATGTTTAGGTTGTTTGAAATTTTTCACTATAATAAATACAACTATGAAAACGACCCAAATAAATCTTTGACTACATCTTATTATTTTAGGAACAAGTCTAGAAGTGAGATTTCTAGGTCAAAAGATAGTGCTATTTTTAAAGCTCATCCATTCAACAAATATTTGAGTAGCGACTCTGTGCCAGACACTGTGAAAACTGTACTTCTGAAGCTTATATTTTTGAAGGGTGGAAGAAGGCAGTGGATTAGTAGTGAACATGAATAAACACAGTCTAAAGTGCTATGGAAAAGAGAAAAGGGCAGGACAGAGGGTATAAGAAGTACCAGAATTGGAGGGAGGGCACTGCAATACTGAATAGGATAACCAGTATAAGACACACTGAGAAGTAAGATTTTCACAAAGACCTGAAGGAAATAGAGTTAAAGAGCATTTCGGGTGAAGGAAACTGCAGAAAGCCCCTAAGTGGAAAGCCTATTGGATGTGTCTGAGGAACAGCGAAGAGGCCAGTATGGCTGAAGTAGAACAAATGAGGGGGACAGTAGTAGTAGAGGAAGTCAGAGAGATAAAGGGCTGGTCAGTTCACAGAGGGCCTTATAGTCCTACTGAAAGGACTTCACTTTCATTCTGAGTGAAATGAGAAGCGATCACAGGGGTCTGAGCAGAAGAATAACATGATCTGACTTTTGTTTGAAAAGGGTCACTCTGATTACTGTGTTGAAAACAGACTATAGGGGCCCCTAGGTGGCTCAGTCAGCATCTGCCTTCAGCTCAGGTCATGATCCTGGGGTCCTGGGATCGAGCCCTACATCGGGCTCCCTGCTCAGTGGGGGCCCTGCTTCTCCCTCTGCCCCTCCCCTGCTCATGCTTGCTCTCATTCTCTCTCAAATAAGTAAATAAAATCTTAAAAAATGAAAAAAAAAGAAAACAGACTATAATGGGGGCAGGGTAGAGAAGTAGAGACCAGTCAGGAGTCCATTGCAAATTCCTGGCAATAGATGATGGGTCTCGAAAAGGGCAAAATCAGCAGAAGTGAGAAGTGGCATGTTAGGAGTTTTCACCTACTTTGCCAAACTACTTCCCAGATAAGACTATCAATTTGTACTTGCACTAGCAGTATGTAAGTGCCTGTCTCACTGCTCCCTACAGCTTTTTAATGTTCATTGGTACTTTGACTGATGATGGAAAGCTGATTTTAAAAGCCAAAGATTAAATCTCTAAATCCCTAAAAGCTTCTTTGGGATTTGTAAATATTGCACTTTAATAATGTCTTTGTTAATATGCCTTTCCCTAAATCCTTTCCAACTCCAAAGAAAATTCATCTAACTTTACCCCCCAAGTATGTCCAAGGTGGACAACTTGTCTCTTAATTAGTATTATGGAGGTTGCCACTTATCAAGAAGAAAGTCAGGGGTTTAATTTGGAAAGCAAAGCAATCCAGTCTCATGGCTGAAATCTATATTCAGCTTCATGTGAGAGACTGTGCGGCCAAGGGTAATTATACCCTTGTTTTGTCATTTCAGATGCCAAATGGCGGGGGGAGCGGGGGAGGAAATCATAGGATCTTCTTTCAATGTTCCAAGTAGATTTATTTTTCATTCACTTGAATTTGGCAGATGTAAAATGGCAGAATAGAAGGAGATTTATTTGATCCTCCAACCCTTGTCATTTTATAAATGACATCCTCAGGCCAAGAGAAAGGAAAGGGACTCAGAGTTACAGATTGCTGATACTAGAATGCACCCTAAAGGCCACTTGGTCCACCCTCACATTTGGGGCTAGAACCTCCCCTGCGACATGCTCATGGGATCCATTCAGCCTAGGTCTTATATCTCTATGGATAGTGAACTCCTTCCTTTCTGAGACCCCTACTCCACTATGAGTCTACTCTGATTGTCTGAAAATGACTTTTCATATCACTAACTCTACCTGTAGCTTCTGCCCTTTAGAACAGAACAGATTTGGGACGCCTGGGTGGCTCAGTTGGTTGGACGACTGCTTTCGGCTCAGGTCATGATCCCAGAGTCCCGGGATCAAGTCCCACATCGGGCTCCCAGCTCCATGGGGAGTCTGCTTCTCCCTCTGACCTTCTCCTCGCTCATGCTCTCTCTCACTGCCTCTCTCTCAAATAAATAAATAAAATCTTAAAAAAAAAAAAAAAACCTCTTTAAAAAAAAAAAAAAGAACAGAACAGATTTAAAGGCACATGCATCCCTAATTACAGAACTTATCACACAATACATTATTGGTATGTTTATATTTCCTGTCCTGCCCCCACTCCCCGAGCTGTAAGCTCCCTGAAGACACAGCTATGTCTTATTTGCTTATACACAATAGCTCTTGGTCAGTTCCTCCTTCCTACTCTCTGT